ATACGTGACCCGATGTGTAGAGCCAGGTTTAGAACAATCTTTCCCTTTATTAAGTTAACTTCACTTACACGCAATCCATCCATTTATACATCCAGCATGAACCACCTTCCCTCTCCTCTCCCCCCAATATCTTTATAAGTAATTGTGTCGTTCGAGTATTCAAAGTCGGATTAACGATAATGACGAACTTGTTCCGGGGATTATGCGGCAACGACACGAATTACATGCACTTTCCTGTTACAATGAGAACGTTTAACTCGATTAGAGGGTTGAGCCTTTCACGGCTCGGTATCGTAGAATTTTTAACCCCCTCCCCTCTGCCCGAGATTCATTAAATATTACCATTAAGTATTAATGGAAAGAAACCAGGCAAATCGCATTTATTAAAACTTTATTTTCTCTCTCTCTCTCTCTCTCTCTCTCTTTTTCTCTTTCTCCTTTTTAGGTTAATGGGATTTAAAGTCTCTCGAACAAGCAGTTCGATCAATTTACCTTGGAGTATATTCAGTTCCTGTGATTATCGTTTTTTTTTTTTTTTTTTNTCCCAAAGGGTACACAATCGATCGAAGTAGCAGCGCTCGATTCTCTCGCGGATCTCTCGCTTTGGAACTTCGATTGTAAAAAAAGGAAAAAAAAAAAAAAAGCGATAAATCAGAAATTTCGAGAGGAATTTTTCATAACGAGGATCCTTGGTGACAAACTAGCGGTAGAATTTCGAATGGAACTCGTATTAGACAATTTACACGTGCACGCAGGAAGTCAATAAAAATATCGCGAGTCCTATGTATTTCTATGACTGGGAGATAACTTTATTGCGGCGATACCGTGATTGTTACGACTTTCATATTTTCACGGGCGTACGTACCATACCAATGCATACCTGTAGATTCGGTTGTTCAGTTTCAGCTGGAAATTCTCCCGGTCGTAAAAGCCACTATTCGAGAAATACATTGACAGTACCGAGGGGAGGAGTAAAACAGAGACAAAAGTTTATTGCGTATACAATATATATTCGAAAGTTATAATAACAAGAACAAGGACAAGGGGATAATTTGAGAGTAATAAGAGTATCCGTAATAAGAGTTTCGTATCAATTTCAAATTTGTTTGATTTGAACGTGCCATTCGCAAATATTCGATTGATTGAAAACAGATTAATCGCGTGAATACGAATGAATTTCTATTTTAATTAAAAAAAAAAAAAGAAAGGAAATGATTTTTTAAATTTTCTTTGATTTTCAAATCATTCGTAAAGTAAGTTTAAATTTTAGTATGAGCTCACTTTTTTTAACCTTTTCTCTGTGTCTCTAGCCATCTAGTGAATATTATATCCGCCATAAGTCTGGTCGCTATGATTATTACCATCAGAATTGCCAACGTAGACGAAAAATCTATCGTAAGGACGAGCGTCATATTTCACAATTTTATTTTTATGCTATCCTCCCCTCCTTCGCTCCCTGATTCTGTAACGATGTGCCATGATTTTACTATTTTTATTCCTTTATCCGTTTGATTAAAATTTATTTTATAAAAATCGATAAAATATCTGCATTATATCCCGCTACAATTTTGTAACGAATAAATCTGTTTTTTAAACTGTTTGATTCAAATTTATTTAAAAAATGAAAACCAATGAAAAGTTGAATCCACGTTGAATGAAGTGATTAAAAAAAAAAAAAAAAAAAAAAAAAAGAATTGAAATATTGTACTCCATTGTGAATATTATTTGTATTAATAATATTGTGCAAGTCCTATTGTTGGAAAAAATTTTTGCGCGAAATTTCGTTTTTTTTTTTTTTTTCCTTCTTTTATGAAAAATGAAAAAGACTTCATTATTGGAACTGGAATTGGAAATCAAAAAATTTTTATACCGTTGGAATTTTAGAGATTACGTGCCATCTAATTACCCATAATATCCATTTGACGTTGAAATTGTAATATCATAAGAGAGAAGTTTATTACCCACGCTTTGATCGTGTCAATTCATTAATATCATTAATTAGTAAATTATTATATGCAAGAGAGCCTTGATAATGCACTTTGCACTATGTGCAATAGCTATCATTGAAATTAATCCAAACTAATTCGTATACAAACTAATACAATGTTTACAAATTGTCTAAAAATCTGAACGTGAAGATGATATTATCATTTACTAATTTCTATCAATTTTATCCATATTAATTTCTCGCTTTTAAATAATCGATGTTAAAATTATATAAAATTTTCAGAATTATTTGAGAATATCTTTTCAATTGAATGTTAAAATAGAGATACACGCGACATGATTGTATACGATTCAAAAAATATGATGAGAAATCGATCAATTTTTTTTTTTTTTGTGCAAACTATGATGTACTTTTTCTTCCATTTACCAGAATATATCATTGAAACAATAATCGATTCTATTGATTCTCGATCGAACATGGTTCATTGTTTGTTCCATGTCACAATGGAAAAGGGATCGTGTGAAATAGCGGCAATTGATTGAACGTGCCAACAATATAAATTGTACCGAGAATCATTCGTTCCAAATCTCATTATCTTCGTTTTCGGTATTACCGAAATTATTTATTCATTTAGTCGATGAAAACTCTCGCGAATTTTAATAGAATTTCCATGGCATTCCTTAATTAGGGAAATAAATCAACACTCGCTGCATTTTATTTAATGCATCTCTTGCAGATTATTCAATATAAAACGCAAATTCTATCTCGAGCATATAATATTTAAAATTATTCAACGATATAAGAATCGAAAGAGGGGGATTGAAGAATATCGAGCATTCATAAAGCTTGATGTCTACAAACGTGAGGCAACGTTTCAGGCAACGTTTAATCAAGTTTAAAATTGTCAAAGTGAGAAACGAAAGTTTATTCATTGAATCGCTTTTTACTTATTCATACGTCGAAGTTAAAAGTTTCGTTTGAAATATTGAACGTATACGAATACGTATACGAGCAAGTAAAATCGTCGTTACTAACCGGGAATTGAATAGTTAAAACGAGGTGAAACTCGAAAAAGGAAGACAAGTTTCAAACAAAAACCATCACCTTTGTATACGTGTGAAATGCATAAAGGTATCATAATTTCTATTATAATTCGAAGAATGTTAAAATCTTATCCTCTGCATTCCAATTTTAAATATCAATCTACAGATATATTCTTGGTTAAACTGCACCACGTATATTTATTAATTTTCCAAGAAAATTTAAAAAATTAAATCAAAAAAGAATTTACAAAGAATTTTATTCGTTGATACAAAAAAGAAAAAAAAAAGAGAATGCAGAAGATTAATAGAAAGTTCATTAAATTATTAAAATAACTATTCTCTTGGTAAATATTTATCCGTATTCGTAAGTGTATTCGTTCTGGACAAGTGTGAAAGTGCGAAGGAGAATAGTGGACGAGAGGGGAGATCGTGTAGCAAGGAACCAACTCCATCCACTTCCTTGCTATATTTCTTTCCCGAGGAAAGGTTATTTCGCGTAGTCGACTCGTAATCCATCCGTTTACTTCGCTAAGGATTGTATCGATCCGCGCTGCGCGTTGCGGCGCGCATTCGTACACGGGATGGATACGCGTCATTTGTGCGTGAGATGTGGACTCGTATCGCGTACCAATGGATATCTGCACACGTGCTACGTTTACACGTTCCCATTATTGAAATATTTACTTCGAAGAGTTAACTTTCTTAGTAACAACGGGGCAAAATAATAAATATTTCCAGCGGTTCGACGAAATCGAACAAATCGTCGTCTTTCGGTTGATTCGAAATACACGGATCGCCCGTATGTACGTGGTACAATTCTCGTTAAATAATTCGTGTAATATTTTTGTTCTTCGAGAACTGTTTCCATCGAATCACGACGGAACGAACCCGTAAACCGAAATTTACCATAGAGGGAAACGCGATATCTCGTGTTAAAGTGAGGAAAACAATGATGTAATTGGGATATGGCGAAAATTAATCGACACGATCTTTAAGAATAATTACCTCGTTTTTCTTCAGGAAGATCTTATTTCTTTATTTACCAATTTATTATTAATGTGTCGTTTTTAAATATAAATATCTTTTTTAAAATAACGCGGGGAATTTGTTTCCAATTGTTTGAAAAATATTTTAAAATTACTGCCATTGTTTGTACGCAGTGTAATAACAAATATAATGAAAAGCGAACGATTTTCGCTTTCCAGTTTCATTGCAAATATTGAACAGAAAATTATTATTATCCCGCTTCTTCCATCTCCTTCCTATTTCAAACTGGGTGAGCTCGGAATAGAGGTAAAATAATTATTCAGACGAAACGCAAATGATGGCGTAAGGATGGCGAATTTCAATAAGCTAATTATTTTAACGAGCTTCGAGTGGCACATTTAATCGTGGCAAGAATCGGCGACGCGAAAACAGACGTGTAGAACGTGGAGAATACATGCACACGTTCTACATATCGTTTTGAAACGGGGATAAGTTTTAACGTGTACATCTTGGCTCGCTTGGTGGCGGAATTATGCGTTTATATTCTCGAACGAGTTCCTCGTGAAATTTTATCGTCGTTATAACGCGACTCCCCTCCATTTTTAACGATGCTCGGTGGAAAGAAACTTTTCGCGATAACTCGTTGTGGATAAGTTTAGTTAATTAATTATAAAACTTGCCCCTTACGAAAAATTCATTCGAAATTTGAAGTTTGGAAGAAAAATTTATCGCAATAAAGAAAATATTTGAAAACGTTGCAAACGTTGCTTCGCTTTAATTACACGATCTTCGAAGGAGAAAATATTTGCTCCTTTTTTGTTGTTGTTCCAATTTTTGTGAAGAATTTAAAGAGTAAAAAATTGCGTCGAGATGTCATTCATTGCGCAAATTTGATTCAAATTATCGAAACGAAGAATATTTGATTTTAATTCTTTGTTTTGAATTTTAATATTTTTGTTATCGGTGTTTGTTAGTTAATCAAATTCTATTATTGGCTTTCCAATATATGCTGGTTTATTTTTAAAACAACAACAATAAAAACAATAACTTGAACGTAATGAAAATAAAACATACGAGTTCAACAACTATATATAAATAATTGAATAACAATAATTTCGAAGCAAATAAACGTTGTCATTTATCTGTGTTTATGTCCACCATAAGTGCCACCTGAATGATCATTTCCTCCATAATTGTGAACTTCCGCGAAGAAACCTCCATGAGGATCCGAATGGTATTTAACGCTTCTCACGTTGCCCCCAGGCTCGTGAACATGATACTCCCCCTCGACTTCTTTCCCTGTAATTTCGAAAACCAATTTTTCTGAAGCCAATTTTCCAAAAATTCAAAATATTCTCGATGAAAGGAAGAGAAAAACTTTGACAATTAAACCACATTAGAATCCGACAGACAAACTTGCTCGTAAGTTATGTAACTAAGAGAAAGCTTCGTTGTCCAAAATTATAATTGTTCGAAATTCTAATCGAAGAACACAAAATTATTCTAAATTGATACCATCGCGATGCTCCTTCTGCCCGTGGTAATCCTTCGTGTGTTTGTCCTCCACGCCGTACGCGAACTTGTATTTGGGATGGGCCCTGTAGTCGTGATGGAGATGCCCGTGTTTGTCCTTCCACGTGATCTCTTCGTGATGGCCCACTACTGGCCCAGAGAAGTGATGGAAGGAATGAGCGTGTCCATGACCACCACCTCCCCCGTGCTCGCTGCCAGCATCTTCGTTGTCTACAAATCGATATCATTTTTCACACGATCAATAATTTGAAATCGTTTCACGCATAGAATCTTTTTCACGATGGAATTTAAGATAGAGACTCTATTATTACATAAAGCATTATTATTATAGCGTTATTATAATTATAACGATCTATTATACACACCTAAATCGTGATAGCTCGTTGATTGCGCGACAACGAGGGTTAGCAGCAAGACCGCAACGGAAACAAGCAGGCTCTGAAATCGAATAATAATAAAAGAAAGAAAGAAAGAAAGAAAAGAATCTTATAATGGAACGCGATGGTTAATTTTATTCGCGAGAATTAATCGAAACGAACGATGAAGTAGCCCGATAGAAATTTCAATCATGGGCTGAGGAGAGGGAGGAGGGGGTGACTCGGGGTTGACTCCGAGTTGAAATTGCAGAACGACCATTATTCTTTGTCGTTGGAACGGTAAACGGAACGCCGGGGTCGCTTTGCCCGATCGCATAAAGATCTCTGGGACAACACTCCCTTCTTGCTTTACGATTACGACTTCGTAATACTTTGTCACGGATCCCGCGATCCGTTTTAGGGAAGGTGGACCACCCCACACCTTTAATCAATAACATGTGAGACTCGAAATTGGAACGATCGATCGCACTCTCTCTCTCTCTCTCTCTCTCTCTCTCCCTCTTTCGTCGAAACCTGCGAATTTCCACGAGTTGTAATCCTCGTTTAATTGTTGTTCCTTAACGAATCCCGATCGACGAATATCGATCAAACGATAGCTTCGACCTTCGTCTCTCACGAGATTCAATATTACGTTTTGTCTTTCGAGAAAAATAATTTTCGATCCTCGATTCTTCCTTACCTTCGCCTTCGACTCCATTTCTTCTCCCACGAAGGATCGCCGATGGACTGTTGCGCCTGATCGCGAGAATCCTATTTTATAAGAGCGTTCCACCGAAAGGAAAGAAAGAGCTCGTTAAAGCATTAATTTGTCCGCCCATTGCTTGTCACCGATTTCGAGAGAAGAGGTGGTGAGAGGCGGTGGTGCTCGGTGGACCGAACGTTTCTTCGTCTCAAAGTCGTCGCAATGGCTCTAGTTTTCGCCGTTGATCGGTGTCGGCGGTGTTGCGCTTCGTGACGTAAAACGTTAATAAAAATCGATTGGAAACTCGTCGATGGACTGAGAAGTTTAGGATTTCGAAATCTCTCACGACGACGAGGTAGATCCCAGATCCGCGAAATTAGGGGATTTTAATTCCGGCTGGAAATTATCGAATACTATCGTATATATACAACTGCGAAACGCTGCGTTCGACGACCCTTTAGCAGTTTTAATCAGGGTGAAAATCTAGCGATAATTCGAGAGTTATAGGGCTACAATTATTCCCATGTTGGCTTCCACTCGATTCCATTAAAGAAACCGTCCCTATCCGTGTATACGATCTGTAACTGTAAATTAGACCGTCAAGATTAATGAGCGATAAATTGCCCGTTTTCGACGATAGAGCGAACGAGTGTCAATATGTCGCCTGAATAGCCGCATCCCAGTGTGGCAATACAGTTTATTGTTGAATTTATTGCATTTCCGCGTACCGCTCGCTCGCATGATACATTCATTCCTGGTTGAATTGTAATCTATCGATTCGATGGAAAGTCAAATACTCTTCTCTTTCTTCGCCCAACCAATTCCTCCCTCTCTCTCTCTCTCTCTCTCTCTCGCCCTTCCATCCACTCTCCAGAAATATATCTCTTTGATTCGATGATAATATCACCGATGCGCGTTGCTAACGGATAATATGAAATATTTTTGACGGATTGCCTCGTGAATTATTAACGGATTTATCATAGAAGGTTGTATCAACGTTACGTTTATTACGTTATAAACTTTTTTTTCGCCATTATGTAAATTACATTGCTTTATCACTCGTGAAACTTAGGTTTTCTCGATTCCACCCTACTCCTCTCCCGTCTCTTTCTTGTTCTCGCCCCGGCAACCTATTGGAAAAAGATTATCCACGGTCCGATGATTAATTAGAATAAGGTTTTGCCCGATGATAATACCTTTAAAATTCTTTCTACGCGTATCTGCACGCCGCATATTTTTCAACTTTTTGAGACAAAGTGTCGGGAAGGAAAGGAAAAATTGTGCAATCTTCTCTTTTTCATCGTTCGAGTTGTGCAAGTTGAGAAGCAACCGAGTGGCAAACGCGCGACGGATATTTCGCGTGGGATTAATTCGCGCTGGTCGAATTGCCCATTCAAAACGGGCGTCGATATTTAACCCCTCGCGCGAAATTCTCCAGTTATAATCGAGCGAAATTCCATATCGGTTACAAGCGAATTCGTTATTAATTCGAATGCATTCGAATTACCCGTGAATTTCGCGATGGATACCATCGTCAAACTAATATACATAGTTTCCGATGATTACAAACTGTGTAACAGGGAACTAAATAATTTACGATAGTGCAGAGCAAAGTGCATTGAACGGAACAGTTCGTTGAACAGAAGTTGAGCCTGGACTTGGCTCGTCGATTCGTGGAAATTTGATTCCAACGATTAATGCGATTCCTTGAAGCAAGAACGACGGGTAATAAGGCAAATTCGAATTTTTGGTTAACATTGTATTAATTACAAAACTGTACATGTTATATCATTGGAATTTAAGCCTCTCGTGTGTTCATGCGTCTAATTTAAAAAGATTGATTACATGGAAAGATTTAAACGCATTCTAGATATGGTATTAATCGTTATAAAATTAACAATCATTAGTCTCTCACAGGGAAGGAATTACCGAATTCGGCCCAATGATTAATTTAATAATATCCTTTCCCTCGAATCCGATTTTTATCTACAGAAAAGTCTGGTTTTAGCGACCATGTCGTAAGAAATGTGAGGGCAGGGCGAGGTGAGCGCTGGGATCAACGAATTTTGAATGGCATTCGTAGATACAGGCGCGGTCCACGTCCCTTCCGAGGATACTATTCCAGACTCTACGTCAGACCTGAAAATAACGGTGATTTCTCGTGTTAAATTCAAAAGTATCGATCGTCGAACGAAATTTTCTCGATGTATAAAGCTACTACTATCCAGACTGCGCGGACTGAAGTACGACCGCTGGAAATACGTAATATCCCAAGAGTTTCGCTATTAGAAATCATCCTATTCGATTCGGTGGATTATCAGCTCGATACAATGGTAAGTCGGCAACGATACGATATTCCAGCGATTGTTTCCACACAGATTTGGAGCATATTCGTGTCGCGAATATTTCTCTCCTTAAGTAAAAACTAAGAATTACTATTGTGGCGTAACGTTATGAGGCCTTACGTCTTGAGAACAGGCGAATTATAAAGAACGAGAGGATTCACTGGTGGAGGTCTAAGAAGAACGACATCGACCCCGGAGGATTGTAGTTCACTTTTTAATGCCTCTGCAGCTCCCTCTACGGCTTTTCTCGACGCGCTGTACGCCACCAATCCTGTTCCACTTTTGCTACCGTAACTCGTCGTGGAATCGCCCAAAAAGATTATGCGACCTACAAAAAAAAAAAAAAAAAAAGAAATAAAATAAAAGAAAAGAGAAGAAAAGAGAGAATTTTTTCGCGAAACGTTCGCGGAATAAGGGAGGATCGAGTAAAATATACGTAATTTGAAAATTGAAGCCAGACCTCTTTTCACGCGTAAAAGGGGAATGAACATTCTGACGGTCCTAAGTGGCGCCACCAAGTTGTGTCGCAACATAGATTCCCACGCTGAACTCGATTGTCTCTCTATGGCACCGGGTAACGCCAGCCCGCCAGTGTACACGATTGCCCAGAGACCTGCAGTTAGCAAAGTTGAAACTTTGGTGTACTTTAAGTGGATACCGCTTTTGGATACGACGTGATGGATACGAGGAGTGGAAGTGTGTCTTGCGTGAAATTTTTTACGAGATTGTATCTCGTAAAAGGAGATAATAAACCCTATTAAAATTAAGAAAAATTTGAACCGCTATAACTACGAGGATAGCGATTCCACGTTAATGGATGTAAGACCGTTAGAGGCACCGAACCCTGACCTTTAAAACGGTTTTTCATTTATCTCGATACGGCTTCCGGTTCCCGAGATATCCTCGTTTAAAGAAAAGCGTAATTTTTTAATCGCGTTTAATGTCTCTATCCCTCCGTTTTTCATTCGGACCTCTCTCGCTCGCGCCCCCTCTCATTGACCTATCCCAACTCCAGACGAATAACAGACGCAATTCTTGGAAAAACACAGCGTGCAATTTCTAAAGGATATAATACACGTTTCCAGGAAATATGCAGGTCATTGACTCCCGTTCCCATTCATTATCTTCGTACTGTTTTAGACACCGAGAATACTTCGAGTTATAATACTTATATACAGGCAATCGATCGAGATCTCGAATAGAGATGAACAAAAAAACATTTTCAATGGCAAGGTTTTCTCTATTTTTCGACTGGATTTTGACGATAAAATTTTTAATTTCTTCTCGCGTTTTTTTTTTTTTTTTTTTTTTTTAAGAACATTTACAATTTAACAATTTGGTATTTTGTACAGTACGATGTTATATATACATTTATACATATTAATGTAATATTTGTTACACGTTTTAATTAAAATAAAAATTGAAATTTTTCTTTTTTACCTCGATTTTAGAGAAATTGAGAAAGCGAAATTGAGAAAGCGAAAACAATTTATAGCCGAGTATCGAGTTTAATACGATTACGTTATAAACCGTAGGGACGTGCAGATTGCTGCGGATATACGGGAAACAACGAGAAATATCGATAAAAGTAAATTCATTTCATTCGGTGAACAGTTATCAACGACCGTACGATGGAATTGTTTCTTTTAACCGAACTATTTCCAGGAAACCGAAAATGTTTTCACTGGCTATGAATCTTTACGATCAACGTATCAGGCAAATCCTTATTCCCTTTTCTTCTCTTCCCTTATATCACCGGATTAAACTCGGCAATCGTCGTCTGTCGATGTCTACTACCAAACTAGCCGAGATCATCGCCAAAGAAAACAATTATCGATCTCTGAATCGTCCGCCGTCCCTTTCTCGAATCCATCGTTCTTTCGAAAATTTCGCATGCGCCTTTAGACTCTCGTGTAATTAATTAAGGATGAAAAATAAAAACGCGAGTTGAAAAATCGAAATGAATGGGCCTCGAGTTTTCCAATTTGATGGAAGCATTGAGGGTGCGCAAGTATTTCTGGTTGAACGGAAAACTTAATTAACGTTCCTTCTCCGGGGATAACACGGGTTTTTTTTTTGGTTTAAATAAGACAACTCATCCCTTCGCTCGATATCCGCCAGAGATGCTCGTTAAAAGGGCCTTTTCCCCTTCTTTTTAAAATTCAACCGGAGAGAAGCTTCGACTGGCGATCAACGCTCGGCATAAAAAATTATAAATTCGTGTGTCTCGTAATTGAAATTGGAGAGAATGGGAGAAAAGATGGGAAAATGAACGGAACGGGATGCGAGGTTTTGGGCGAGGTTCAATCTTGGCTTGGTATGGCATTAAAAGGGGGATATTGCTTGCCATCTTCGCCGGCCGGAAGTTTCGCCCGAACTGCATCCAAACAAGCGCGTAAACTGTCCTCCCTCGTCGAGTCCAGCTCCAATGGCACGATTTGGCCGCGAGCACGTGCTTCCGGATCCTGCGGCTTCCTCTCAACCGGATCCTCCTCCCTTTCTTTCTGCTGCTCTATCGCCCTCAAAATTTTCATCGACGGCGAATTCCCGCAAGGATCCAGCAGACCGACGAATACCTGAACGACAACTCGTACAATCTTACTTATTACTTGGCCTCTTCCTTAACGATCGATAACATAATATTTTTTTTTTTACTTTCGAGGAAGAAAGAATTTCCAATACAATCTCGAATCTAACGCGAATCTTATTATTATTATTATTATTATTATTATTATCAAAGGGATACAATTATTGAAGGAAACGTGTCGCAAAGAGTTTATTTATTTAAAAGTTCAGTTCAGTTAAAAGTTATTATTCGTTTAGAGAATTCGATTAAAATTGAACGAGAGTCTGTTTACTGTTGCGAAAAGAAAAGGAAAAAAAAAAAAAACAAAGAAGGAGCGCCTTCGGTTTATTCGATTGAATAATATAGAAAGGAAGAACGAAGTGACATAAGATTGTGAAAATAGAAGGGGTTTAATAATAATAATAATGATGATACCTTGTAACCAGCCTCGTAGAGCGCAAGGGCGATCTGTAGGCCCAGCGAGGTATCGCAGCTGGTCACCAATACATGACGCTTGGTACGCGTCTCGTATTCGTCGTTGGCGTTCCTCGATTGGCGCATTAGGTAAGCCAACAGGGCTGCGACTATCGAACAGAGGGCCAATATTTGTAGGGCCAAAATGGCCCCGGTTTCAGCATCCATCCTGCCCGGGTAATATTCAATCTGCAAAGCGCAAGTTACGTTCTCTCTGTTATGGCACAATTCAAGCGAGACCGTACGACGACTCGCTCCTCCACTTCCGCAATGCGCTGAAACAGTTTCTCGTCGTTACGCTACAACTTGCCACTAAATTTTCGGCTACGAAATTTCAATTCGCGCGCTGATACGTTTATACAAAAGCTCAAAGCTTATTGTTAACTACTCCTTTTCGAAGGACAAATTTTATCAGGGCAAATTACATTCCAACTTGGACGTGCATCCTTCCGCTGCGAAATTTATTTATTAATTTTTAAGAAAGTTTTTTTTTTTTTTTTTAAAGATTCGTTAGCCTGCGGAAGATTCTTAATGGCGCTTAAATACAATAATTACAGATAATATTAGAGTAATTTTTCTTCGAAGGGCATTTTATTTATTTACATCAGAGAATTAATTATCGCGAGTAAATTTTACGCACACTCGTGAAATTTGTTTTCAGCGTCGAAGCTTTTCAGTTAGTAGGTCACTCCGATACGAAATTCTGAACGACACCCAAATTTTGTATAATTTATACGATAATTCGCTCCGATATTTTCGTGATTTTATGATAATAGAATTTCAATTTCATTGCACAATGCTCTTCTATGAATTTACTCGGTACTCGGCCGATATTATTTGTATCAAGGTTTGAACGATAGCACGCGACTCGTATAAATCCGCCACGAAGCGTAATTCTGTGCACGAATGCTGTTGACAGCCGATCAATCAATAATAATGCCATAAGGCATATAGTATATTTAACCTAGACGTCGAAATTGTTGCGAAATTGTTGATACAACGAATCAACCACTTTCACATATGTGTATTTCACAGAATCGTATTTATTTCGTTCAACGAAGAATTATGAATACATACGAATTCGTGTATTCGACGATTATCGATCATCGTCACAGCAATAATGATATGGAAAAAAAAGAAAAAAAATAGAATACGTTTAAACAAAATATTTTCTTCTCTCCCTAATTTCTCTCTCGTCGTCTTATTATATAATACTTTCTCGTTTTTTCTCTCTCTTTTTTAACCACAAAAAAAAATAAAGCTACGAAACACTCAGGTTTGCCCCACATTTTCCTATAATTAAACTCCTTGACAGTAACGAGCAAGATAACGATACCTTCAAAAATTAAATGAAGAAGCTCTTGTATCAAACTTTATTTCGCCTCATCGTAAAATTTCCTAAAGTTTTCTTCACCTGAAATAACTCTTCGAAACTTTATGGGAATAAATTGAACGGAATTAAATTATCGAGTGTGATTATTCAATATGTATAACCCAAGATGATGAGGGAAACAACAAGTTTTCATCCGTTTACCGATTAAACGATTCCGATAATTGATTTTGCGAAACAAGTTTTCCGTCCAAATTATTCATCCGCGAGGAGATATTTCCCCCCTCCATTCCCGGTGAGAATTTCCAATTTTAAGGCCGTTTCGAAAGAAATTTCAGAATGGAAAAGTTCGAATCCGATTAATCGCGATAACATTCGATAATTGGCAAGGTTGGAGGCACGGCCACGCGAATGTATCGCAACGCATCGCAAATTCTGTTTTTTTCCCGCGAAAAGTGAAGGGTGATGGAAAGGTTTTTGCAATGGCTCGCCTTTCTAAACTGTATCTGGGCTCAGCGAGGCGTGGCCGTTTCTGTTTCTTCACGACTGGCCGACATCGATCATCATCGTCGTTGTCGCGAATATCGCACAGATTTGAGAATACATTTATCGATTTTTCTTCGAAATATATTTGAACGCGTTTTCAAAGAAGCGCAATGAGCGAGAGTTGTGGAAGAGAGTTTGTAAAAATTTCGAAAAATCTTTACACGCTAATAATTGTAATTTTCATCTCGATAGAAGACAGAAATATATAATTTGAAGAAGAAATTTCGTTCGAATCGATCGGGCTGTCGATCGATTTTTGTTCCAGTTTTTATTCGACGTTCGATGAAATTAATCACGAAAAAAAAAAAAAAAATCTTACTTTTGCTCGAGCGATTTCACCTATTTCGAACGATATATTTGGAAAGCGTATCATCGAAAATTACATCGAGTTGATGCTCGTCTGAATCGAGGATTTTGTTTTCAATAAGAGTTAGACTTCGATTTCAAACGAGGATTCAACGACCTGATATAAATTATTCAAGGAAAGTCCGCGAATGATAAATTACGCTCTTGCCGTTTGAACGCAAGCGGGAATACCGTGTGATCATTTCAACGGCTTTCATCCGTGCCATTGGCCGCAATTGATGCGAAACCTTTGACACGCGGTTGCGTACACTTATTACATTACCGCAATAAAAACTTTAAGTGGATTTAATTTTTTCTCCAAACATTATGTTTCATAACTGGTTATCTCCGATCATTTCATTCACTCGTCAAAATGACGACGAGTTTTAAATTTTTTTTCTATCGTTTGCATTTATTAGAAAGCGCGTGTATATTAATACTTTTGCAAAATTAATTTCGTTTTTTTCTCTCTCTCTCTCTCTTTTTTTTCTGTCTTAATCGCGCATCGATGATTCTAGAATTTTTTAATTTTCTTCCGAAAAGTCGAAAGAATTTCTACCATTTCGAATAATTAACGAATAAAATTTATTATTAGTTAAAAAAAAAAATTTATTACAAATTTTATGTACAACGAAAATCGCAATAAATCTTTCGTTACGTCAAATGGCAAAGAAGTTAGAAAGATTTTCTTTCTTTTTCTTTTTCTTTTTTTATTTATAGATACGCGCAACGTTCGAAAGCGTTTTCAAATGTAAGTAAGCGTGTGTGTATGTGTGAATGTATCTACGAACAGTTGTGCACAATGAGATTGTGTGCGTGTCTCGATTGCGTGCCAAATCATGGCGGTTAACTTTCTCTGGAATGCAGGCGGAGAAAGAAACCAACTTGACGGACAGGTGGCACAAAATTATGGAAGCTTATCCAAGAGATCTCGCGAATATTTAACAACGTTTTTCTCCAATCCAATCTCCAAGACGAAACGCTCGTCGTTAGTCTCGTTTATTTATTTTTGAAATCGCGTTTCACGATTAATTAACATTTAATTAATTACGCGATAATTGTTCGATAATTATCTCGATCGTTGTTTTTTTTTTTTTTTTTTAAGAACAAGAGATTTTTTTCTTTTTCTTTTTCTTTTTTTATACGTAATATCTTAAAACTTTTCAAACGAAAGGAAACTGCATGAAATTAACATCCACGATATCGCCAAATTAAGAGAGAGAAAGCACGGTTTAATTATTTTAATCGTGTTGCGATTGATAGAAACGCGCAGAGGCAGAGCTTCGAAACACTTTTCTTTCGTTTTAGAAAGGCTAGAGTAAAACTGAAAACGCGTGAAATAAATTATCCAATTTATTTTCCCTTAAATAATAAATCCAGATATCATTAATAATGCTACACCCCTGCAATTCCATTCGTGCGGAACGGAGTAAAAGGCGAGTCGTGTTGACATTTATTTGCAAACTGGCTCGTTTCTTCCACGAAAGACTTTCGTTATGAAGAAAAATTGATTCGAATTTCTTAGCTTTATAACTTTGAAAAAAAAAAAAAAAAATAAAAGATACGTACATCGAAACTTAACTATCCAAACTATATTCAAATTTTCTTTTTTTATTATTTTTTTCTTTTTTATTTTTACATTTTAATCGGCAAAAGCGTACAGATAAGTGTCAGGAAAATTAATTCACGATATTACTTACTTAAATATATTCGTAGATAATTTCAGGATCGCACAGAGGACTATCCTTTGCTACCTCGTCTATCAAACAACGGTAATCGCGATTCCATACCAATGAGCAACTACCTGTGTCATGTCTATTAATCGCTAATACCCAATCATCGTGAGGCATGCACCAGCTGTCATGCTAGAAGTTACACGGATTACATATACGTGTAAGTGGCACACACGCGTCCCAACCGCATATGCACGAGTATCGACGACGATCGACGTAATATTATCGGTCCTCCTTTCGGTATGCGCGGACGAATCACGTATCGTGGTCGCATTATCGAATTGCGGGAGTTTATTTGCCCGTGCTAATTTCAACGGGAATGTAGAAATATCGATTAGAGGAGGCTTGGCCTCTCCTCTGTGCGCTCCTTCTGATCCAGAATCTTGCCCAACAATCCCAGCCTCTGGCTGCGCCCGCGCGATGGAACATTGCAACGTTCCATTACCTGACCGACACAGATCTGATTAAAATAATCCTCCGTTGAAAATGGAGTGTCCCGATAATCGCATATTAATTAGAAAATCTTAGGGAAACGAACGTATCCCGCCCTCTCGACTTTAAAATCCGATTAAAATAATTCTGAATGGAAAAGCACCATCGTGTATACTGATCGAAAAGTTTCATATAATTTTTTTTTTTTTTTTTTTTTTTTTTTAGAAAATTTAGACATATTAATTAAATGAAATCTTCAGAGAAACGAAAGTATCGTCGTCTCGACTTTAAAATCCGACTAAAATAATTCTGAATGGAAAAGTATCGTATATAGTGATAAAAAAATTAGGATCATTCGCGATTTTCAATATTCTTTTCGTGTTTTTAAGAATATAAGCTTTTTGCTCGTTTCATATAATTTTCTTTTTTTTTTTTTTTTTAGAAAATTTAGACATATTAATTAAATGAAATCTTCAGGGAAACGAAAGTATCGTCGTTTCGACTTTAAAATCCGACAAAAATAATTCTGAATGGAAAAGTACTATCGTGTATACTGATCAAAAAGTTTCATATAATTTTTTTTTTTTTTTTTGGAAAATTTAGACATATTAATTAAATGAAATCTTTAGTACGAAACGAAAGTATCGTTGTCTCGACTTTAAAATCCGACTAAAATAATTCTAAATGGAAAAGTACCATCGTACATAGTGATCAAAAAATTAGGATCATTCGCGATTTTCAATATTCTTTTCGTGTTTTTAAGAATATAAGCTTTTTGCTCGTTTCATATAATTTTTTGGAAAATTTAGATTTATTCCTGTTTCTAACCATCCTCACTTAACTTTTAAGAAGGACTAGTACAACTCGTTCGAATATTGCAATCGTACATACGTGACTATATATCCTATAGTATTTATTAGTTGATCCTCAATCGTCATCGTAGAGGAATTTTATCGCTCTCTCATAATACGTAAACAATTCGTAGTAAAAAAAAAATAAGATGTCATAATATACTAAATTACTAATCCGAAACGGAACACACGCGACGATTGATTATCGAAAAATTTCCAATTAAATTCAAGCTCTTAAATATTTTTCTTCTTATCTTTTCCTTCCTTTTCTTTTCCTTCCTTTTCTTTTCCTTCCTTTTCTTTTCCTTCCTTTTCTTTTCCTTTCTTTTCTTTTTTTTTTTTTAATCACAAATTGTACATCTCAACGATCGTCCGCAATTAAAAAATCTCGGCGATGATGGATGTAATTATTATCCCGTCCTTCGACCGCGAAACATTCAAATTAACACGCATCGAGGCTTCCGCTACTTTTTTATGCGGGCGGTTGAGAATCCCGCTAGAGAATTAACCCAATCCATCTTCGAACGGATCATGGTTCGAAGGAAAGCAAGGAGGATCGGCGCGCAAATTTAACGGAAGCCACTCGCGGGGAAACCGCGCATATTCTTCGTATAATTGTCAGAGATATTTCTGGCTCGTTCGAAGCTCACGGGATCGTGAAAATCGTTGCTTGTAAGCAGTGGCTAACAACTGCGTAGATACACACCGTCCAGTACACAACAGTAAACGTGCAACGGTACTCCACGTTGACCGCGAGTGACCGTGTGGAAAAGTTAAATACTTTGCGGTTCCTGGATATCCTCGTCCATTAATGTTTCGTACGATAATTATCGTCCGTTTTCCTGTTGCGCTTTGCCGCGCGATCAGATAAACCTCGAAACAGATAAACATCCTCGAAACGCACTCGAGAATTACTAACTTCGAAATTTCACGGTTTATCGTTTACAAAATTTAGAATTTTATTTTCCGATTGTTCGGCTTAAAATTCCTTTCCGCGCTAGAACGACGATCGAAGAATCGAGACGAATACGGAGGAAGGGGGAGAAGGGTGGGGGGAGTGGATATCGTTACGCAAGTAATTGATACGCGAAGAAGAACGATTTCGTTCGCGATTATATAACTAACGCGAATCCTTGGACTCGATTTTAGTTTTAGAGTTCGCGCAGATATCTCGTCCATATATTACCGGCCATACGATACGTACTTAGAAAGTTGCCAAGTACTTTCAGTTAACTGGAAAGTTGAATACGATTTGTTTCGTTGAATTAGATCTTTTTTTTTTTTATTCTTCTTCTTCTTCTTCTTCTTCTTCTTCTATAAATGAAATTTAGAAAAATCAAACAATTTTTGTAAGAGTAAATTTTTTTTACACGGATCAAAACTCTAATGAATTAATCGTTTGGATTAAATCTTGCGGATTTTTTTCAGCTAATAAAAATTCCACGATTTCTTATCTTACGAATACGAATTTGCAATTAACATTTTGCAAGATCTTAGCCTTGTAGGCATCGTGTGAGCTTTCGAGAAAGGAAGTATCGTTGCACGAACGACTCGTTTGCTTCGATTAGCTGTTAAACGAGGATCGTCGCTTCCGCTTCGAAACTTTCCGATTATCGTTGCTGGCGAACCGTGTCAATAGAATGAGACAGAGTCGAATAAGATTCTCGATCGATCGAGTACGATGTAAAATATTTAGCAGAGTTTAAAAATTCCTCCATCTTTCCATTCCCATTTTTGGCGAGGTTCGCCAAAAAATATATATTTGGAAAAGGGGTTATATATTTGGCAACAGAAGAACATTTCTCTCTCGACTTTATTCGATAAATAATTAATTATAACGCGCATTGATTAAAATATTCTATACGAATAGAATCTGCCTGTAAAGAATCTGCTAACGAATCAACATCGTTCAATATTCATGTTTCGACGTGCAATTTTTTTTCCTTTTTTCTTTTTTCTTCTTTTTTACACGTTACTACTCAGCTCCTCCATCCACGCTCTAATTCATCCTTAATTAACTTATCGCTTCATTGCAATTACGGATGCGATAAGTTTAATGTTAATCGCGAAATTTCTATTAACATATCGTTTTCGCGTTTAAAAAAATTTTTAATGGTAATCCATGATTAATCTCTAAAATTTAATAGCGTGTCTAACGATACGTTTGCTCGTTCGAGCGTTGTACAACGATCGTTAAGAGGAAAAATTCCAATTGTCAATTGTAAAAAATTCAGTCTCAGCAGCAATCATAAACAAAAGATGATTCGCGTGACTCCCGTGCAACTTCTGTTTCTTTGCTACAAAATTTCGTGTTCCCTTTCTTAATTCGTAAATTTCGTTCCTTATGTACACTCTTCTCTTCCATCCCGCAAACATGTTTTATATTTACATTAGACCGCAATTCATAATAAATAAATAAATAAAACTTGACTGTAACTACACGTATAATACTATACTATAATACTATAAAAAAAAAAAAAAAAATACATCGAATTATGTCGACGCGTAAGTTTAATTAATCTCAAAATAATTGTTAATAAAGAAGAAGTTAAGTAAGAAAAGTTAAAGTATCGATCGCGAGTAGACGATTGACAAGGATTACTCACACAGAGAATCGATGATTCGCAAGAGTTTTGGGGCAAGTGGGTGGTGATGCAGGCACTTGGGTATTCGGATGGAACGGTCCCTCGGAAAGAAAATTCGGTGGACACGAAAACGGCAGAAAGCGAGGGAAACGGCGATTTTACGAGCACTTGGAAAGTACCGGCGAGCGGCAGGCCGCGACGCGTGTTTCTACGGCACAACTGGCTTTCGAGAATTCCCGGTTGGAATGCCTACGAGGACGAACGGTATAAGATGCTTCGACGCTTGCCGCCTCGACAAATGGAAAAGGCACGGCCGAACCATCTTCGCCGCGCCTACAATTACGTTTGCCCGTTGTCTATTCCTCTCCGCGATCCTCTTCGGCTCCCCGCTGGCCTACGCCTATGCCCACGGTTAATTTCTAAAGAACGTGGCGTTTAACGTGCCTCGAATTCCCTTTCGGATGGGTCGCGAGTCGCACGAATTACCTCCCAAATGGCCAAATTATTACGCGGTCGAAAGGCGCGACCCCTTCGTTATTCAACGAAATGACGAACCATGGAAGATATTTCTCGGGCCTGCGGTGGATGGCGATGCGAGATATCGCGTTACGAATCATTCATTGAAAATATGCAGCTGATTAAAAGTTGTAAAATTCGTGAGAGCTTGGAACCGGGGAAAATATTAATTATTTAAAATAATTTGCTTTAGATTGAACGGTGATGATAGTAAGGTTGAACAAGGTGTGGCCTACCCCTCCCTCCTTTTTTTTATCCGCATGAGAACGTATGGCGGGGATCGTTCTCTTGCGAATTCGCGCGGAATCAGACAAAATGTCGGTGAATTCGCGATCAATTTTACGGAGGAGAAAGACGATGGTTTATTCTCTTAATGAGGACGTCGAAAGGATTTGAAATTACGTGTAATAGGGGGAAGCTTTAAGCTCGCGTAATATGCCGTAAAGATGGGAAAGATTCGCGTAATACTTTGATCTCCTTTATAGCGAAATATAATTCTTCTTTAATCATTTTTAACATTTTTTTTTTTTTGACGAAAATGTGATTATAACGTTGAAGTTTAACAATATCTACGAGAAATCCTTTTGAAGAGAGAGAGAGAGAGAGGAGGAAAAGAGAATCGATCAGTTTTAAATTGTGCAAGTTCCACGACGACGTAGAAGCCACCAAATGCGTTATTCGAAGAAACACTAACGATTGCAACTTGCGAAACGTGTTTTTCATTTCATTCAGTTAATCTATCGTCGTATCTTCCGTCAAACCCTCTACAAAATTCTAGTCCGCAATGACCTACATACTACTTGATCGATTAATTTCACTTTGACCTCGTTCTTTTTGCAAATTACGAGGTTGGTTATAAATTATAATACGATAAATGATAAAGCAAACGTGGGAAACGCAATAATAGAAGATCTAAATTATCGAGTTGCAACGGAATATTAGAGAATTCATTATTAATTTTATGGAGATTGCAATTGGTACTTAAATACTTGATAAGCAATATTAATGTTAACGAAATATTTTATTATTATACTTGATGCTATTTATAAACGATTAAATTTACACAATTTACATGTGTATATATATGTACACATATATACATATATACATATATACATATAAATAAATAATCGATTGCTATCGAATACGAATCTTCGTAATATATAACTTTATAGATTTTAATTGCGAATCTTAAATAAAGTAGTAACTAACATTGAATAAAATTTCAGTCACGACTAACCCCTTTCAGTACTGTGTCATCGTGTGACAATGCCGTACGCAGACAGAAAATATTCGTTTTGAACGGGAGCCGAATATTAATTTATCGAATAAGTTCATGCGTGGAATTCATACTGATATTCGGTGTCTTACAAAATTAAATTAACCTGAAGAAATTAAATTACCGAGATTGAATGGTATGCTAATTAAAAAGTATTATCTAAATGAAACATCGCGTGATTGCATTTTAAATAGCTCAGTATCAGTACTTGCACTCCATATAATTTAATATACGATGTTAAATATAAATTTAAAATTAAATATATGTAGAGCGTAGAAAAATAATTTTATGCAAAGATTATATGATACGTATATCTCTCCTTATTCCATGATTACTGGATATATATTAAAATATTATATGCTTAAATTTTAGTATAGAAATATCAATAGTGACTTTTATAGGTATACAGTGGCAGCCTGATGTCACTAGTCTAGTTAAATTGCTATAGTGTATGCCGTGGTGGGGCGGCGTCCATGTTACGCATGTTCTTCTCGTCCATTTCCTTTTGGAACTCGAAGGTGGGAGGTCGGTCTGTAACGCAGTTCTCGGTTTATACTTGCAATCGTTGCTTCATACTCGCGTAAATGTTTCAATTAATTACGACAGAACGAATTTGCATATTCGATAAGATTGTTAAATCGCTTTTATTCCGCGATACGCTAAATTTTTATCACAACGTAATTCGAGAAAATGGCTGAATCAATAAAGTGTGAGTACGCAAGCCACGTGGCGAAGCAACTTACCGAAGAAGAAATTGTAAAGATGCAGGCGCAAAATTCGCGATTAGTTTCCGAATTTCGTGCCAATCAGTTGGAAAAAGACGCGAAAAAACATTGGGACTTATTTTACAAACGAAACGATACTAGATTCTTTAAGGACAGACATTGGACTACCAGAGAATTTAACGAATTATTGGATTTGAGTACGAAAAATGAACAAAATGTTCTTTTTGAAGTCGGTTGCGGTGTTGGAAATTTTATATATCCCTTGATCGAGGATGGATTGAAATTTAAAATGATATTCGCGTGTGATCTCTCTTCTAGAGCCGTGGAACTAACAAAGGTATATATTTAATTATTTATTGATATATTTATGCGCTATTTTGTGTATCATTTATATATATGTATAATTATATATCTTTATAGAATCATTCGTTGTACGACCCAGAGAACATAAAAATTTTTCAAACGGATATTACAACAGAAAATTGTTTTTTGGAGGTGGACTGTCCGGTCAACGTTGCAACGTTAATATTCGTTTTATCGGCTATTCATCCGAAAAAGTTCAGGAAGTAAGTTAGGAAGTCTTTTATATTTTTTTTAAAATAATTTTTTTAATAATAATTTGCAATTCACTATAAAATTTATGATATTTCAGAGTCGTGGAGAATTTATATAACGTTCTCGACAAAGGAGGAATCGTGCTTTTTAGAGATTATGGTTTATACGATATGGCTCAACTAAGATTTAAACCTGGTCACAAGATTAGTGAAAATCTTTATATGAGACAGGATGGTACCAGGTAAGATTTCTTTATTCCTTTTTATTGTAGTCAATATTACAATAGTATAAATTACACTAATTACACTATTACACTATTTTATTTCAGGACATATTATTTTTCAGAGAATGAAGTGTCAAACTTATTTCAATCGGTTGGCTTTGAAGTATTAACGTGTAATTACGTACAAAGACGAACTGTAAATTTCAAAGAAAAGATCGACGTACCTAGAATTTTTGTTCAAGGAAAATTTATAAAATTCTAGTAATAATGGTACGTATTCATAAAAAAAAAAGAAAAAAAAAAGTAACATGGAAGCGATATTACTAAGTCGTAAAATCGGTCAGGCGTTAGGAATTTGTGTTTTAAGATAGAACATGTAACTTGAGACGTTTTAGGGGAGATAAGGAACTTTGAACTCTCCTTTAAATCCATATACATACATACACACATATATATATAGTTATGACTATAGACTGAATATGTATATACGTATATATTTTCTGCAGTGTATATTATAATGGCTTCATCAATCGATGTTATCGCTTAATGTTTTCGATCTCACTATTATTTTTTTGTTTTTGATGTATATAATGATGAAAGCATAGTTCAACTGATTTTTAATGAAGAATATTAAAAATGTCTTTCGCTCCTATCTGATAAAATAATAATAATAATAATATATAATTGTATTGAATACAAAAAGATTTTTCACATAAAAATATACGTACTTGATGTTTCAGAAAAAGTTTCATGGATCAGTGAATTGAAGTATTATTGCAGCTTTAATTAGTAAGTATTTTTCTTTTTTCTGGAAAAAAATATAACATGTTCGTAAAATTTATTTGCTGTTCAAATAAATATATTTTTAAAGGAGATAGGGATAAAAATTGAATATCAGACATATAAATTTTATCTCGAATTACGAAGTTTTAGCGAAAATTACGATCCTGTTATATTTTATCCATTCATAAAATATAGGAAATTAAAAAGATAATTTGATTTAGAATAAAAGTTTATGATGAATTCATAGTTCAACCGATTTTTAATGAGGTATATTAAAAATGTCTTTCGCTCCTATCTGAATTTTTTTTTTAATCTCAAATATATTGTCTAAACATTATACTTTTATTTTATCTTTTCTTTTTTTTTTTTTTCAGGAAGCTAAGCACTGGATTTAAAACTATAATAATAGTTGAAGGGTGCTGGTACAAGTAAGCATTTTTAATTTACGATTATATGTGATTAAATTTATTTTTTAAAAAAAATTTTCTCGTTATTAAAAATTTTATTTTTGAAATATGCTATTAATTACTAGTCAATATTGAATTTTCAAAATCAATGATGTATTTCTGTAAATATGTTTGATTTTTCATGATATGTATACATAATGAATTTCGTCACTACCGCTGAGAAATAAAATAATATTTCAAAATTATGATATTATTTATATCAGTAAAAAACAATATTGTTACTTTTTTGCAGGAAAAACTGAATATTTTAAGTACGAAAAATTAAATATAAATCTCCAATGATAGGTAAATAACTATTTCATTTTAAAAGATCAAGCATTACTGATAAAAAAATATTTAAATTATTTTATTACAATGATGTAAAACATTTGCAATGATTCAATGATTACATTCCATTAGCTCTATCTGAAAGTTAAATTTCTCTTTCTATTCACAAAATAGAAAAATATAACTGGTAAACAATGCATTTTTATATTCCAGGTTATAAAGAAGAATTTTACCATATGAAATGTGTAATATTTGCAAAATATATTTTATTAATATAATATAATTTACAATGTTGTAATTTCTAATAAATAAAATTTAACACAATTTAATTGCTACCTTCATTTTTACCCATTTTTATACTCCTTTTATATCAATAAAATAAAATCTCGTTGCATTAAAATTTAGAAAATATTATATCGTGTATAGATATCATGTTCCTAAGAAGAATTTGAAAGCGAAGCCGCAAACACGAATAAATTGCATCGAGATTATTAATTGGACAAAAACATACCATGTTCCAATTTGCTTTGTATTCGATGCGCAATATTTAAATATACGATAAATCTAAGTAAGATTACAATGTTTTTTACATTCTCTTCAATAATTATAAAAATATCGATACATATATTTAAGTTAACAAAAAATTAACATATGTTTATAAATTCATAAAATACGATTTTACTATGAAAAACATCGAATTAAATATACGAATAATTATTATCACTAATCTGATTGAATAAATTAATTTTGAATGTAGACAAAAATTATTTCATTTCATCAAATCTTAACATTTGATCCAATTAAAAATGAAAAAAAATATACAGGTTTCGATTTCCTTAAAAGATAAATAGTAAGAGGTGATGAAGGCCATTTCAATTTTTCTGACCACTATATCGATGTTTTAAATTGTGGTCAACCGATAAAATATACGCATCGTTAAAACATTTTTTCATTCAATCGGAAAATATTAAATTTCATTGTTCGTCCATATTCAAACAGCACAATTAGAAAAGTGACTTTGTAAGGACGCGATATTTTTTCCTGATATGGATTCTTATCGATTTTCACCAGATTTGAGTGTAAACAGATTAAAAAAAAAAATACCAAATAAAAAACTATTTGTTGAGAATGTAAAAACGAATTCGGAATACGAATGGAATCGTATGTAATCACCAATTTACCAAAATCAGACGATACGCATGCATCGAATAGGATGTTAGGCAATGGTCAAAATTTCCCGAAGAATTTAAATTCAAATCGTCAGAACCATACCTATTTTAAATTCGATTAATTGCTTTCTGATCGAAGATAATCGATCATTTTATATTATCGCAAAAAATATATTTTTTAACCTTATTCTTGAATCGAAATTTAGCTTTTTACTACAAAGATATAAACTCACGCGAAATTCCATTCCACAAACATACATACATATATACATATTCCTTGTAGAAACGATAAAAATTAGCAATTCCAATTAATTGGATCTATCACAATACGAGCAAAATCGTAACCAGAACATTCCTCGATACTCGCAAGGTCACGATGATTAAGCGCCATAAAATATTCAGTTGCTTTTTCTTTTATAGCACAGGTGGTGCGGTTGGTTTTATTAACCGGATGTTCCAGAAAGATACTCTTTGAAAGATATTTTCTGTGAAATCGATAGATAAAAGCAACCGATATCTTCCTGATCCGGACACGTCTAATCGAGACATCTAATATTCTCAACGTTTACAGAAAAATCGTTCTTCGATCCATCGTTTTTCATAAAAAAATAATGATATATACATATTACGATCATTAAGGTTCAGAGAACTTGTTACAACGTCGTACGAGGTAAAACACTTTCGTTCGTATTTGGCCGATTGCCAAGGTCCCTTGCTTCACCCGCGTGCCATGCATTGGAGGTTATACACGGATCTGCTTCAGGAATACCTGAACAAGATTGCTTAGCAGACCCCGTCGTCCCTGAAAGCTTCGATGGCACACGTACTTACACAGGCGTATATGGTCTCCGGTAAAGCAATAGGACGTGCAACAACCCCGTGCAACATCCACCAGCTCACGCACACACGCAATGGTTACACGCACCACACGCGTGTCCTCGTGCATTGATCGGCCAGTGACGCGCATAGGAGGATCTACTCGCCAGGTATATAAAGGTATCCACCAAAAAGCCAGAGCATCATTCACCTCCAGTTCAACACACGAGCTGATCTCCAAAGATCTACGAAACCTATCAACCATGAAGTGCATCGTTGTAAGTACTTATTGCGTACACTCGTTGCGTATCTAACATTCGATCTAACCTTTCTTCCAATCTTCCATGACGGACCTGTGTCCGAATTAAAATCGTATCTAATTCTTTATCAAACTCTGTACTCACAATTAATATTGTACAATTATCATTGTAACGTTACTATCAATCATAACACGTACAATTCATTTTCTATTTAAATGTCTACTTTGTGCAATAATTTGTCACTAAGAGAATAAGACATATGGTTAAAATTCTGCAATTATTTCTTACTTACTTACTTACTTACTACCTTCGTTCTATTTCATTCCATCTCTCTTAATATTACCATATCAAGATCATTGCATTTGTGTAAATGAAAAGAAAAAAAAAAAAAAAAAAGAAAGAAAGAAAGTGTAGTTGCTATTTATTGCAGGCGCTATTTATTGCTATTTATTTCCAGCTTGTTGCTCTGTTCGCCCTCTTCGCTGTAGCCTTCGCACAGGCACCCAAGCCTGTCCAACCCGATCAGGAACAATCCGTGGAAGGAGAGGCATCGAGAGACAAGAGAGGCCTGTTACTAGCTTCCTACACTGCACCAGCAGCATTAGCACCAGCGCCAATTGCGTACTCTTCTTACGTCGCCCCGGCAGCCCCAATTAGCTACGCTCTGCCATACGCCTACCGCGCATACCCCAGCTACACGTATCTGGGTTAATTTTAGGGGTATTAGGGATAACACCGAGGGACCTTTGTGATCACGACTAGGGAAATGATTATACGGCAATTGGAAGGATTTTCGAGCGAGTCGTTTAATCGACGCTACTTTAGTTTAAGTAAATTTAGAACGATAGCAGCCGGACGAAATTTCTTTTTTAAATGTTAATTGCTCAAATTATACGTTCGCATCGTATTATATCGAAGATCACCGATCTATTCAACTTCTGACAAATCTTAATACACCGTTCCGTTGTATTCTCATCATGTTAAATACAGAAATTGATTAAGCTCATATTTGTGTATCAATCGTATCATTTTCCTCGTCCAATCTCCATTTTTCCACGATATCGAAGAGGAAAAGAGAAAATCAAACGGAAAGAAATCTTATTACTTACCAATATTCGTAGGAAAGATAGTACTTGTTTTATCATACGATCTATAAGGGATCTATGATGCAAATTTCACGTATCTTATTCATGATTAGATTATTAAACATGCGTCCAATGCATCCATCTTTAATACGAGCATGGTTCTTGCGTTGTTGTTGGTGCATCGTTGGAGCGCGTTAGACTTCCTGTTGAATGGCGAAGTAAGCGGCGACACGACGATGACATCATCGGATGGCAGTTTGGCGTTGTAATCATTGATCATTTAGGCTTGCATGAAGTCATTGAAATAGAAGCTATTCCCTGTGCCCGCTCATTGTTTCTGCTTTTATAAAACGTGTGCACGAATGAGCAACGTGATCACGATCCCCACACCGATATCGTGCAAAATCGAGTGAGAAAATTTAAAAAACTTGGAGGATCTTGTAAATTTCTCGTCTGTTTGACGCGTTGTCAATCTGGCCACGGTGACGCTGCTACAATTATATAACAGAGATCCTTTTAACGAGTCAAAATGCGTAATCGACAGAGAGACATTTGAAAAACGACATCAGAGAATTCGAGCACGCGTGACTTACGTGTAAATGGGAATTACACAACAGGAATATATTACTATAAATGAATCCTCGTTCGGTATTCTTGTTCGGGGCTTGATGAGTTTAACTCACTTTCACTGAAGAGTTTTGAAGAGTTTGAAAGCTTTGGAGGATAAATACGTGATAGGAATGACATCCCAAACTTCGTATTATAGTATCGAAATACGAAACCAGTTAATAACCGGAGAAATAATTTTTCATAAACGGGGACAAAGGAAATTGTTCTTTGCTTCTTCGTCTTTCCGCGGAGGAAAAGTAATTTATGTTAAGAAAGTACGAAGGAAGGGAAAGGGTACGATTGTATTCGCATCCTTATCGACGATCTCAAGCTAGGACGGAAGCTATGCGTCTTTCTCACTTTCGTAGAGACTTTCGCGTTAACGATCGATACGATACTTATCTATCTCCTTTTCTCCTTTTTCTCGAATTGAAATTTATTTTTGGAAACCGATTAATATATTCGAAGAGTCACGAGAGGACGATACTCTACATCGATATGTGTAACATCGATCCGTAACAGCATTGCCTAAGTGTGATCGATGAAAGCCAGCAAGAAAGTCTATTGTAATTCGTGGATGGTCGCGACCCGACTGTATTTATACATGTGCAGGTATGGCCGTGGTCTTAGTCGGTGCGAGCCTGTCCATCCTTGAGGAAATTAGTTTTTTTTTTTCCCCAACCAAGCTGCCCTGATTCCATGCTCGAGAAGCTTGTAGACCAGTTACTAGGTTAGCTCAGGGAACGTCCGATTAGTGCGGTGATACAGTGCGATTGGATTACGAACCATGAAGTTCCTCTTGGTAAGTGTACCACGATTAGAAAATTAAGCGATTCGATCTTCCTGACCGCTTCCTGTTGGCGCGTTAACGACTCGCTTCGACAATTTTGCGTCCTTCCTGCGAGTTGATAAGATCGAGCAGGAGGATAAAGCGGTTCGCCTTTTATTTTTTTCCCTTTTTTTTAGCTCGCTTGTCTACTGGCTACGAGCTTATTATTATCCGTCACCGCGAAAACCGAGGTCGAGGATGCCGAGGAGAAGCCGGAGATTACGAAGTTGGAAGTAGTCGATCTCGGCGAGGGCGAGGGCGACGTGGATGACGCGGAAGAAGTTCAGAAAAAGAGGGATTCGGGATATTCGTACAGGAGGCCGGCCAACCACGCTTCAGCCTCGAGAGCTCGTTTCCAAATTGGGCAATCAACCGGTCACGGAGGGCGCATAGTTAATAGACATCCCGGGCAAATAAATAGACCGGTTACGAAATACGGTCCACCCGGTTATCAGAACTCGTCCCCAACGAGGGTGACTTCGTTGCACGGTCAACAGAATCGGGATAAATTGCAATTCCACGGACATTTCGGTCAACAACATTCGAGCAACTTCGATGGCCGTCCAGGTGGGCTCCCGTTCGAGCAGGAAATACCAAGTCCTATCAGACAGGTCGATTTCGTGGAACCGAATCCGATATCGACGCAAAACGACGAGCCGTTTGCCGGCAATTCGGCCAATTACTTGCCTCCCCACAATCAAAAGTTACCCGGCCCTTCCACGCCGCAGATCTTCTCGCCCGTCCACCAGGGGCAGCAACAACAATTGGCGAATTTTCAAAATCGGGACGTCGCTCAACCGCAAGGACATATATCAGACGCTGCCCTTTTCCTCTCTCAAAACGCTCAAGCCATACAACAGCTTTACGGCGCCCCACCGAACGAGCAGGATTTCGCGCCGAACGCCGATCAATTCCTAGGCCACACGAATCAAGTACAAAACCCCAGCAGCAGCCAGTTGCAAAATTTCGAGGCGACCTCTCAAACCCCGCAAAACTTCCCGGGTCCTCCCTTACCCTCGTACGCGTCTGGAACTCTCACAGCCCAAGAGACGTTGCAACAGATACAATCCCTCGAAAAGGATAGGCTGATCGCCCAGTTGCAGCACGCGCTCGCCACCCAGGCTCAGCACTCGCAAAACGTAGTGGACGTAGCTGGAAGGTACGCTCAAAATCAGCCTGGCTTCGTTCAGAATCAAGATCTTCTGGCCTCCATCGGGCAGCGAATCGCGAAGTTTCACGGTTTAAACGCGCGACCGAGCACCGTGAACTTCGGTTCCGGAAACACAGCTTTCAATCAATCACCTTTTTTGCCAGGGACGACCATCGGTCCGGGGTTTCCGCTTAGCTACGGACCGTCCACCACCGTTCGGCCTTCGACCACCACCGCGACGACAACCGCCACCGCAACACCAACCACCGTGCAACCCCCTCAGCCGGCCAAACCCGACGGAACCTCTCAAGTCGGTTCTTCGCTGCCCGCGCCGTCCCCGCCGCTTCCTGTTTACGGAGGATTCGTCCCGTTCCTGGCAGGCACCGCTTTCCTGTCCAACGTCCCCTCCTACGGCCCCGCGTTCCTCGCACCCGGCCCCCTCACCGCCCTCCACTCCTCCAGCTCCTCGCCCACTCACTTCGGTCTCCCCATACCCACGGACCACGGTCACAAACCCGCGGCCGGAAACACCCCCGCACCACCCACCTCCTCCACCACTCCCTCGACCACCCGGCCTGCCCCCCCTCCCTCGTCCGTGCCGCTTCATCCCGTGCCGACGACACCCCTTCACCCCGTCGCGCCCCTTCACCCCGTCGCTCCCCTTCACCCCGTCGCTCCCCTTCACCCCGTCACACCCCTTCACCCGGTGCAACCGGTGCTCCCTCCTACGACCACCACACACGCGCATCCACCCCCGTCGACAACCACGAATCCCGGCTACGGGTTGCAAACGGCGGTAATCAATCCGCTCCTGTACAAGCCCATCAAACCGGTCTATCCGTTCTACTATTACCAGAACGTCGCGTATCAGGTACCGAAACCGGCGTTGCCCACTTATCCGTGGAGCTACGCGCCGACCTATGCTCAAGCGAAACCGACCCAAATATGGTAAATGAAACGGCGCATCCCGTTCCTAGCGGGTTAATCGTAATGGCAGCTTGCTTCCATCTCCCCTCCTGACTATCGAGACTGACTGTTTACCCACGAAAAGGGAAAAGGGAACCCGAGAAATTGAAGAAGAAAGTAAGTGTGGCACTGTGGCGGCGACTCGCGGTAACGTTTCGGTTTAGACGCAAAGATAACGAGATAGAGAGAGAGAGAGGGAGAGAGAGGGAGAGAGAGGGAGAGAGAGAGAGAGAGAGAGAGACGGTCTCGTTATTAGCTCGTTATTAGCTGGTTGAAATTTTAATCTGGAATCTATCGTTCTTTATTTATATACGTGATATTTTTCTTTTTTTTTTTTTTTCTTTTTCTTCTTCTTCTTTTTCGATAACTAGATAGTTATTGTAGAGTTACGAGTATGTATGGAATATCAGGAATATCTTATCGATTCTTACTTGTTGTTATTGGTACGAGGTTTATCGGTACGTAAGGAATAATTAGAGACAGGGTTTTACTTTTCACACGAAGGTGGGATAAACTATTCGTGTTTCTTTTATTTATATAGGTTAATTTTTAACGTGTCCTTGTCCGACAACGCGTCGAATTTAACACGCCGTATCGATTTTCGATGCCCTCTCCATTCCTTCATTGCGTACGATTTCTCGATTGAACGTTGTACATAAGCAAGTTTTTATTTATTGTATCGAATAAATATTTTTTTTACTTGACCGAGTAATTTTGTTTTCTATCGCTCCTTGGTAAAATAAAATGAGAAAAAAAGAAAGGAGAAAAAGAAGCTGATTATAAAAGTTTTGCTGTGATTCTTAATCGAAAGAAAGAGAGAGAGAGAGAGAAAAAAGTCAATTGCAGGCGGCGTGCTCGTTTCGCCGGTAAAGAAAGTACACCCTAGAAAAGCAACTGTCTCCGTTTCCGGCCCGTAAACCTACACCAAAGAACTCTCACCGAGGACTTAATGGGCGTTCAATCGATCTGCTTGATCGTGACCTCAAAAGTCGTTCGATCATTCTAATCACGATCGATATATTCTCGACCAGATTAATCGGATTATTCCGGGCATACGTAATGAGTTCACCCGCCCACGCGAGCATACGCGTTACGATTAATATCCATTTTCTCTTTAATTTTGAACAGAGCTTCGTATTTAATTATTAGGCAAATTTTATTTGAATTTTATTTCGATCGATCGAAATCTTGAATTGAATTGTCACGATATTAAAATATTTACACCTGAGTTTCGTCGTTATCCGATAATTTTTATCCTTAGCCAAGATGGCGTGATAACGCGTCGCTGTGTAATTTTAACTTTTGAACTCGATTAAAATTTTTCTTCGCGCCAGAGATTTTTGATAGACTCGAAATCATTTGCTTAAACATCATTCGAGTCAATCGATATTATTAATTACATTTCTCAGTGCTCGATAATTTTAAAATTATGCATGTATTATCGCTTAAAGTCACGGAATAATTAAAACATAACCATTAATTTTCTCCAAGATTGCGTTTACACTGTCGCTATATATCTATTTAACGCATTTGTGTATTTGTTTGTTTGTTCATATTTTTAATTTCGCAAAGGAAATTATGGGTTTATGGGTTTACGATTTAGAGGCTGACAGGTTTGTTAACCCGTGCACTGTAAGTGAATAATATCCCGGGTAAAAAAGGTAAATAGTTGTTACGTTGTGGCGCAATGCAGCCACGAAGCCTGTCGAAGAATCGTGTGGCCGGGTCGGTTACACGATTATACCGCTAAACGTACCAGATTTCTACAAATATAGAACAAGTGTAATTGGCTACGAAGTAGCCGTTTCATTTTCCGTAATCCGGCAAAGGCGGAAAAGGAAAAAGGGGCACGAGTCACGAAGAAACGCGGCCTCGGAATAGAATAGCGGCTACTTTACGATTCACACAGGTGTCAACTCACTTTCCGCGACTGACCCGAATCTCAATTTACTTTTCGTTTTAGTGCGCTACTCGTTTCCTGCACATTTATCGTTTCAACTTGGACAACGGTCCAATTCCAGTTCTGGGCAATTATTATTCTTATGTATACATATATATAAAAAAAAAAAAAAAAAAAAAAAGAAAAAAAGAAAGAAACGGTTTATATCTCGAGAAATCTAGAAACTAGATGAGCGGAACAAATAATAAACAAGTTTAATATCTTGTTAACGATTGTGACTCGACTAGTGCCAGTAATTTAACGTTACACCATTTAAAATTGTGAATTTTTTTTACCGTATACATTTACACGTGAAAAAATGGAGAGAAGAATATCGTACGCTTTTTGCCCATTTCGTTTATAAATTATCATCTAGGTAACGAAAGAATAACATGAACAACGAAAGTGTATCTAACTTTTTTTCTTTTTTTCCGTAGACATCGAGCTTTCTCGAATAGACGTTATTTAAATAATAAACACATGTACTCGTTTGCAAAATGTTGACAGAAAATTTACCTTCGGGTTATTAAGCACGTTTACTTTTCATGCAAACAATGTTAGTCCATGTAGGTTGTGTACCGCTTTCCGGGAAAGCGTCTCATGTTTTTTCGTTCCAACCACCGTCATTTCCATGCGGTCTCTTCTAAAGAAAATTGAAGCTACAAAATTCATTCGTACATTTAATCAAGTTATATATATATGTATATCTTTTAATAAAGAATTATACAACTCCTTTTAATAAAAGAATTATTTATTATCTCGCGTTTCAGTTATCGATTATTCACAGATCATTTAATCGTTTGTATTTATAACACGCCTCGTTAATAATACGTTAATGTCTTTCTCGATACGTGTTTTTTTTCGATAATCGTTTTCTCACAAAAAACTCAAAGTTTTATTTCCAGTTTTTTTCTCCCCACCAGTAATTCGCTCTGATTTCTACATAAGCAAGACTCGAGACGGGAGAATCGGCAAAGAATTCGCCTCATCTTTTTTCGTTGGGCCGAGAAGCCTACAGGGAATTACGATGGCTAACTTCCTTCCATCGTCCCACGAGTGAAAGTAAAACGAAATCAATCGGAGTTTTCAGCTCGAGTTGGATAGATAGTGGACACACGCCGGATGGGAGACGTCGTATCCTTGCCACACGTATATTTTATCTCGCTTCCCTTTTTCTTCGCTCTCCTCTCAACGACGCGATTATTTTTCGCCGAAAACAAGAGCGCAGCTACAACGTTTAAATCTTGGCCATTCTTTTTTTTCTTGCCCACTGTCGTCCCAGGGCATTTCACTTTCCAACATCGAAATTGGCTTTCAATGGGTTCCGAAGAAGGAGAACGCTCGCGAAATCAACCACACCTTCGTTGCTCCTTTCATGTCGCGTCACAAAAGACTATTGAAACACTATTGTTCGAAGAATATTTTCCTGGGAAATAAAAAATTTCGTTTTTCCTGAAAAGCCCGTACTCTCTCTTTCTCTATCTTTTTCGTGTAATATTGTAATATTATAATAGATGGAAAATTTAATCGTGAGTTATTACTTCTGGCACAGAATTTCCAACGAAGAAGAAATGTATTTCACAATTGCGTTTCGAGAAGAGGATGAAAAAGCAAAAATGTTTCGATATAGGATATATATATATATATATGTATAAAGGGTGAAGACGAAGTACGTACACGAGATGATTTAATAAATTTTCAAGGAACACAGTGATAGTTGTCTTCTCGACGTTGGTTAATTATCTGTCAAGAAGAAGTTTTAATTAACAAGATCCTCGCCCGTTGGTAGAGAGTTATCTCAGAATTAATTAATAGGAAGCATGATATATTTAAGAAGAAGGTGCGTATATTTCCAAGATAACCTGGCGGTTTCGCAAAAATTAATGAAAACGATGACATTTCAAGCGAGAATGGAGAATTTGCCTTTTTTAACGAGAATATACGAGCCGTTTCGATACAATTTTTCTTTCGTTTCTCTCGTAATCTCTCGAAAAGTAAATGTATATACGTGTGTACACAGTAATTAGCGTTATCGTACTCGATCTCGAAGTAGAGTAATTTTTCTTCCTTCTTTCCAAAAAAAAAAAACGATCGAGTTCGTAATAAGGAAACGTGTTTACTCGAGGAGCACAATACTCGATAAGTTAATCACTTTTACCGGGGCGCTCTCGTTTACAAATTTTACGTCCAGATTAGATGGATTAAACCTCGATGCTCCTAAGGAATACATTTGGTTGCGAAGGTGGTGGTGCACTAGTACCAACGCGGGGAGATTCACCTTCACCTAGACCTTTCTTTCACCATGTAAGAGGGGATTTGTATATAAAAGCTCTCTTCTGGGTAGCAAAGGCATCAGAGACCACAATTTCACTCACATACCCGTTCCTTACTCGACCGACAAACAACTAGCGTATCGAAACAACACCTTGTTTAGAATCAACATGAGATCATTAGTAAGTCCATCACAGAAATATACAAGTATCGATCGTTAACGAGCTTCTACAAAATAGATCTCGCAATTCTCCGACACTTATCCGATTTTCACTTTTCGTAGGTGATTTTGGTCCTGGTAGCCGTGCTGGCTATATCCCGCGTCTCGTGCAGAGAGCCTAAGGGGGACAAACGATCGTCGAGACTACCGTTCAAAGGGAAGCGCGGGATCGTCGAGTATTCCGGAGGATCGTCTTACAACTCTCCTCTCATAAGCTCCGGATACGCCGGCGGATACTCGTTGGGCCATTCTTCGGGTATCCAAAGTTTAGGAGGCGGCTCGATGGGATACTCCCTAGGATCCGGAGGACTGGGCCACAATTTCGGGGCCCAGGTTCAAGGGATCGCGTTGGGAGGGCAGCACTTCGGAGGGCAATCGTACTCCTCGCCCGGCCTCGGCTCCCTCGGCGGCGGAGGAGGTCTGTTCAGCCCGCCGTCCAAGAACGGGCCGGTCACCTTTGGCATCCACGGAGGAGGTGGTTCTTCGTCTTCGGCCGGCTACTCGGCCCCGGTCTACGCGACATCCGGTGTCCACGGATTGTCGGCGTACGGCTCTCCTCATCAAGGGATCAGCCTTTCGTCGATGTTGGGATCCGGCCACAGCTCCGGCTACAGTCTACCGGCTTCGTCCCTCGGCACGGGTCACACCCTGTCGATCCACTCCATCTCACCGGGTTACGCGGCCAGCGGGGGTTTGGTAATCGATTCCAGCGCTCTTGGAAAAGGATCCTCGAGCTACAGCCTCCCAGTCTCCTCCTCCTCCTCCTCCTCCTCCCACGGAGGTTCGTCCCTGAGCAGCTACCAGTCCGGTAGCTCGTCCTCGGGTTACTCTATCCCGATATCCTCGGGATCCTCTGCCCTTCACTCCGGTTCCTCAGCTAGCTACTCTCTGCCGGTCTCGTCTGGATCGTCCATAGGGGGACACATAAGCCTCTCTGGCGGATCCTCCTCCGACAGCTACTCCCTTCCCGCCTCGTCCATCTCCACCTCGCACCCTTACGTATCATCCGACACCTCGTCCTCCTCCTCCTCCTCCTCCTCCTCCTCGAGAGGTACCAGCTACTCGAATCCATCCTATTCCTCGCCCGCTTCCGGTTATTCCGGATCTATCTCCAGCTACTCGAGCCCTACCTATTCCAGCTCAGGTTATTCCAGCGCGTCGAGCAGCTATTCCCCTGCCTACTCGGCTCCCTCGACGTCGTACGGCACCCCGATGGAGTCACACGGCTCGTACTCGAATCTGGCGCCCAGATACGTCGAGTATCCCGGCTCGAAGAGCTACGAAGATTCCACGAGCAACAAATACGACACGATTTCGTATTCAAGTCCAAGTGGGAAATATTAATATCGTCGATCGGATGTCTGCGCGATCCGCGATAGGACGTAGAACCATCGTGGACCAATCCGTGACTTGATCTGAGTTCTAGGCGAATCCGTGTCCGCAAGTACGATCCACGGATCGTATTGGATACCGTGCTAATTTATATATTTTTTCCTAGAATTAATTGTATTATTTAAAACGCCGTTTTGCGTTTATTTATATTCCTGCGAATTAATCTGTACGTTGAGTTCCGTAATATCGATATTTCGATTCGTTGATGTCGATGTTCATAGTTTTATACGTATTCTTGTTTGTAATAAAGCGATTCCTTTTTGTAACTGTTTCACTATATACATATATACATATATATATATATATATATATATACTCCTTTGAAGAATAATCTAGCGTGTATAATAACGCGTATTCATCGGCTTTCACAATTTTGATCATCGATTTCGTTCCAAATCGATCGAGATTGGAAACATCTTCGAGAGGATGTAATGCACGTATAAGTTTTTTAAATTATAATAATATTTTTTTTTGGCCATTAATTTAATTTAATCATTTGGCTGTACAAAGTGTCACCGTTTTTTTTTTTTATTCGTTCAAAAGATTTTTTTCATTCGATCACCTTCTCGCCGTGAAAGTTATTTCTCGCGAGAAAAGAATGATCATTCCATATAATAAAGATGACGAGAAGGAAGAAGAATAAGAAGAAGAAGAAAAAAAAAAAGAAGAAGATCACTTTTACTCTAAATCCTGCTCCAGCGAAATGAAAGAATTCCTTTCTAAACTTTTGTTCTTTTTGGGAAAGTATCGGACGAGTCGTGTACGCTGAAAGCCACTGCTCGTCCATTGCGGACCGGTTTAACACGATTCATAAGGAAACTGTTCTTTTCCCTCTGTCCTTATTTCTATGAGTAAGCGAGTAAAGGTATTTAGGCTGCGATATTTTCATTCCAAGAAAAAGAAAAAAATTTGAATTTACAAAAAAAAGAAAAAAAAAAATACTCGAGCAAGGAAACAAATTGCTTTTCGTTTCGCCTCGAAGAGGAATAATTTGTTGCTTTCTTCTCTAAAGATGAAATTTAAATCGGTGAGAGAATTTAATGTAATTCCGTTTCAATCCTGAATCCATCGGAATATTCTTTCGAAAAAGAAAACGCGTATCCAAGAAACTTGTAAGCGGAGGAGAAACTTTATTTTGCTCGTAAAGCTTCGAGAAAGTGTTTCACTCGAATAATAAAATCGTTCAAAAAAATCCCTTATCGCTCGTTCAATTCCTACAATTCCCTTTTCATTCGATCCTCGCTTTCCAACAAATATTTATCTCTTTAAAATTTTTCAAAACGCTCGATTATTTCTTTCTTTGACGATTAATCGCGATAAAATCGATCGATCGTTCCCTTATTCGTTACCAAACATCGTCGTTACGATTTTAATAATATCCTTGGTCGACGAATAGTAATAAAATCTGTCGCTCAGCGTAAAACAACACCCTCGCTAAAGAAAGTGGCGGGCATCGTTTCTCGAACGTGCAACAAGAACGACCCACTTTTCAACGATCGCACGTGCGCATCGATGAACAAACATGAATCCTCGTGGAAAAAACGGAGGATCAACTCGAGATCGGGGGATCGTCCGATTAAAAAGCGTTCGATCTGGAACCGGGCTAGATCGCAAGAAAGTTGTACATTTCACTATTTTCCGACTGGTTCGACGAGTGACATACTTGCGATTCACTCTTACGCCGGTCGAACACGTGCCCGGAGCGAAAACAGGGAAAATCCACCTCTTACTCCTCCTCTCATCCTTAATAACCGCTATCTCTCTAATATTTCGTGCAATTTCTAGCGCGAAGAAATTTCCACGCGAAAAACGTGGTGGGTAATAAAAATGAAAATCAGATTTACGATACGCGTTTCCTTTCATCCGACCGGTCTCTGGTATATTGGAAAGATCGCTTTCCCAAGATAAATCTACGGTGTTTATCGACACCGATACCCCTGCATCGATTAATAACTCATCGTATATCAATAATTTTTGTCCCAATTTGTACAAATTATATACCTTTCTTAATTCGTCGAGCTCTCCTTAAATTTAACGTATTAATAAAAAATTGCATGCTAATCGCTCTTCAGATCTCTTAAAAAAAAATCTTAGCAAAACGCGCACATATGCATTACATAAAATTTCAATTCGCAGATAACGGGGACCGCTTAAGTTAAATCGTGGAATGAATCTACGAATCTGGTCGAAAGATGTCTCCCCTTCGGTTCATCGGTCGGCGCCGATTCGACGTGGCGATCGAGGGCGTGGTCCCCGCCCGCCGTGGCAAATATTCGCGGCAACGTGGAAGTGAAAGTAAAGCCGACGGGACGGGATGGATGGACGCGAGTGGGCCGCGAGCCGATTCGGAGGAAACGTCCGCTTCGAAAGGCGTACGACGACCGGAACCAAACCAACACATCCTCCGTTGTTCGTCGTTTTACTTCCGCGTTGATCCCATTCCTTCGAACGGCTCTTACTTTTTCCCTTACTTTTTCTTTTACTTTTTCGAGACGAAAGGAGAGACGGATCCAATTGTTGCCCGCGTGCAGGGATCGCGTGTTAAACGGCCACTCTCTCACCACGATCTCGTCCGTCACATTCTTCCGTTCGACGTGATCCGATCCGAATTTGTTTAAACGCCGATAATTATTTAAATGAAACTTATCTGTCCACGTTCGAGTCGGAGCTTTCACGCGTCTCGTCCCTATTCGTTTCGCTTGGCGCGGTTCTATCTCCCGCCCACCTTCACCTTGGAGACCAGTCGCAGTATCTTTTGCTCGAAGGAGAGCGCTGTTTCAGCAGCGGGCAGGTTTCACTGAACCGGGCGTGCACTCGCCTCGGCCGCGTATCTACATATAAGAACGGAGAAACGTTAAACTAGTTCTCGCGATTTTTCAACCGGCCGAGTATAAAGGAGAAATTCAATGTCGGCCGATGCATCATTAGACGTCGCGGCGGAGCGCCGATCCGATCTTTCGTTCCGAGTCAGAGAAGCGTGAGTGAGAAGCGGTGAATGAGAGATCATCGACCGGGTATTGTAATCAGTGAGACGGGTCGCTCGGTATGGATTTTTTGGTCAGTATTTATGATGCTCAGGACTCCTTTTAACGTTCATTTTTTTTATTAACGTTGCGATGATGCGACAGAAACGCATCGAGCGCGTTTCGTTCGAAGACGCGAAAGAATTTTTTTTTGTTTTTCAACGCGGCGAATATTACGATAATTCTTTTTAAATCAACGAGTCGCTAAAAGTTCGTTTAAAATTTCAGCTACTGTTCCTAGCGTCGTCCGCGGTTCTCGTTCAAGGGTACGGGAAAAGCAACGACCCGAACGACGAGCCGTTTCTGCCGATATACCCGGTATACCCTTACAGCCCTAAATTAATTAAAAGGGGGACGGAGAAGGAGGCCGTGGCGCAACTATCCGCGGAATTGTACGCGCCGAAAGTCGACGCCAAGGACTCGTACAGCGCGAGCTACAGCCCCCGAGATTCTTACTACCCTAATTACGGCTCGTACTCCAAACTCCCCTCCTCGCCCGGTTACGCTTTCTACGGATCTCTTCCGTACGATCCTTACGCAACCCCTTACAATCCTTACTCACCCCCGTACCCAGTTCCCTCGCCCTCTTACTCGCCTCCTATTCCTCCTTACTCCTCCTCCTCCTATCCCAATTATTACTACCAATCTCCCTATTATTATCCCAATTACTACAACCAGCCTCTGTTCCCGCCGCCCCCGCTGCCACCGCCTGTCGTCGATTACGCCGGCGACCCGGACGGTGGATACCCCGAGTCGGACGCCAAGCAGAAGAAGCACGGCGAGGATAAGAGTTACAGGGCCAAGGACGTCCAGTTCGTCGACGGGGCCAATTACATATCCGGGGGTTCGAAGGATCTCGACGGCCAACCGACGACCGCGTACAAAGCGGGCGGCGTCCAGCAGAATCAGCTGGAACAGACGAGCAACGCGCAGACGAAATATTTCCCTATCCCGTTGCCGAAAACGACGTACAGGGTGATCAGCGTCGGCGGACAACCGGTGGGCCCCGATTATCCATTGCCGCCGTCCTACGCGAAAGCTCAGCAATTGGACGAGCTCGCGGCGACGAGGGGCCACCACGATTGGGTGAAGGTGTTGGCGAAGAATTTCAGGCCCGTAATCGAGTACGGTGGAGCGGTCGACGCGAAAAATGCCGCGACGAGTGACGACGATCGAAACGACGAGGGGAAGGACGCGAGATACGTCCCTGTCTCGACCGCGACCGCCAAGACCGGCCTTGCTTACGTGGTGAATCCTAGCGTTCTTAGGAAGGTGAACGTTGGGCAAAGGAACGTTGGACGGATCGTTGGCAAGTTGAAGAGCGTCAAGTATCCGACTGGCGCGTACGCGACGATCGAGAAGCCTGACAAGGATCAAGGCGAGTCGAACGATTACGAGAGCTCGTCTTCGCAGGATAATCAGGATTACGACACAGCTTTGAGCCAGACCGACGGCAAGCAGCAAAATTACGACGAGGATCAATCTTATCAGAATGAAAATTACGTTACACAAACGCCTCGGTATAACGGTTATCAGTATACCAGTTACAGTCAACCGCAGACGATCACTCAGAGGCAAACGCAGCAGTACAAAAGTAATCTGGATAACGTGAATTTTGGCGCCAAGACGAAAAAGGCGTGATGCTTTTTTGGATGAATGGAAAGGAGGTTTTGTCGATATACGATATGGTACAATTGTTATTTCTATTTTTTTTTTTTTTTTGTAATCTTAGTTGAATTAACGTTGTTACCTTTGTTACTTTTTTAGAGACACGCGTTAAATAACGTTTGCGCACTTTTCTAGAATATCACACGAAATACCTCTTACAATATGCTAAATATTATGTTTTTGTTTTTATTATTTTATCGTTTGTCTAGACGATGTGTTTCTCCAACCTTTGACATATCACGACGACGATACTTTTTAGTTTCGCGTCGGACATTTACATCCTACGCATATGCAAATTTTGTATTCATTTTGTTACTGTTAATAATAAAATATCGTTGTTGTTTCTTATGGGATTTTCGTTCTCTCTGCTTATACACCTATAATCCCCAGCCATTCGAATTTCATTGCCGATAATAATTTCGTCAAGTGTCGATTTATTCTAATATCCTTTCCACTTAAATACCAACTAGTCTCGAACATGATGGTAATATCCATCTCCTCTTACCGCGAGCGTAGTCGATTCCACGATAAATGAACACCAATTCATTATAAATTTTTTATTCCTAATAATAATTTTGCCAAATGTTAATTAATATCCTTTCTACTTAAGTAATCAAATCACCAACTATGATCGTACTCAAGATTTCCTTTTATATCTTATATTCAAATGCATCATAGGTCAACATACGATAAACGAATCAATTTTTCATTATCAATAACAATTTTGTCAAATGTCACGATATATACTTATTTAGAAATATACTTTCTAAATAACCAATTAGCGATGATATTTTTTATTAATAATAACCAAATAACACCAAAATTCTCTTCTAAATTTTAACTCGTTCTTTCATTTCGTAATTCGATGAAACGTGATCGACTTTTCCTTGCCAATATAATAATTTTGCCAAGTGTCAATTTATTCTAATATCCTCTTCGCTTAAATAATCGTAATGCAAATCAGAATGATACTAAATTTCCTCTCATTCGACGTATTCTTTTTACCAATAATAATAACCTTTTCCATTTAAATAATCAACCATCGTGACATTGCATTTCCTCTTATTCCATCTGAACGCAGATCGACGGTATTTAATGCACATTCGATTCGATTTTCTGTCAATTTGGTCTAATAATACATTTTAAATAATTAACGATATCCAAAATGGTCATGATTACATATACAACTTCGTTCGTGGCACTTACGGGGGATGCGTTTTCATTTCGATTCGATTTTCTGTCAGTTAGTTTAATAATTTTAAATAATTAACGGAACGGATGATATCCAAAACTTGGTCATGATTACATATACAACTTCGTTCGTGGCTTGGGTCGTTGCACTTATGGGGAACGCATTTTCGTTTCGATTCGATTTTCTGTCAGTTAGTCTAATAATTTTAAATAATTAACGGAACGGTTGATATCCAAAACTTGGTCATGATTACATATACAACTTCGTTCGTGGCTTGGGTCGTTGCACTTATGGGGAACGCATTTTCGTTTCGATTCAATTTTCTGTCAATTAGTCTAATAATACGTTTTAAATAATTAACGGTTGATATCCAAAACTTGGTTATGATTACATATGCAATTTGTTCGTGGGTTGGGTCGTTGCACTTACGGAGAACGCGTTTCGATTCGATTTTCTGTCAATTTGGTCTAATAATAATAATAATACATTTCAAATAATTAATGGAACGGATGATATCCAAAATGGTCATGATTACATATACAACTTCGTTCGTGGCTTGGGTCGTCGCACTTATGGGGAACGCATTTTCATTTCGATTCGATTTTCTGTCAATTTAGTCTAATAATACGTTTTAAATAATTAACAGAACGGTTGATATCCAAAATGGTCATGATTACATATACAACTTCGTTCGTGGCTTGGGTCGTTGCACTTATGGGGAACGCATTTTCGTTTCGATTCAATTTTCTGTCAATTAGTCTAATAATACGTTTTAAATAATTAACGGTTGATATCCAAAACTTGGTTATAATTACATATATAACTTCGTTCGTGGCCTAGGTCGTCGCACTTATGGGAACGCATTTTCGTTTCGATTCGATTTTCTGTCAATTAGTCTAATAATACGTTTTAAATAATTAACAGAACGGTTGATATCCAAAACTTGGTTATGATTACATATACAACTTCGTTCGTGGCTTGGGTCGTTGTACTTATGGGGAACGCGTTTCGATTCGATTTTCTGTCAATTTGGTCTAATAATAATAATAATACATTTCAAATAATTAATGGAACGGATGATATCCAAAATGGTCATGATTACATATACAATTTCGTTCGTGGCACTTACGGGGAATGCGTTTTCATTTCGATTCGATTTTCTGTCAATTAGTCTAATAATACGTTTTAAATAATTAACGGAACGGTTGATATCCAAAATGGTCATGATTACATATACAACTTCGTTCGTGGCCTAGGTCGTCGCACTTATGGGAACGCATTTTCGTTTCGATTCGATTTTCTGTCAATTAGTCTAATAATAATAATACGTTTTAAATAATTAACAGAACGATTGATATCCAAAATGGTCATGATTACATATACAACTTCGTTCGTGGCCTGGGTCGTCGCACTTACGGGGAACGCGTTTTCGTTTCGATTGGATTCGATTCGTTTCGAGGAAAGGAAGAGGAACGATCGAATGAAAGGGAACGATGCGGATCCGGGGAACGTCCGGTCGATCGTTTGGGCGCGGTAATGGAAAGGGGAAGTGAGATCGCGATTCAACAGGAATCGCTCATACATTCGTGGCAGGTGAGAGAGAAGAGAGTGGCGTGTTCGAGAGAGTGTTTTGCTTTATTTTTCTTCTTCGCGTGCGAGAGCGCGCGGGATCGGTCGAAAAATAAATAAAATCGGACGAGCCTTTTACTTTCTCGTCGCCGGATTTCGGATCTCGATCCCTTATATACACGATCACTCGCGAAAGCTTCACGCCATTACCTGCCCGCATCCCACCTCTCTGCTTTTTACATTAATTCCGTTAAACCGAAACTTTTCAACTAGCTAATGTTATAATTACTTTTACCTTTGAAAGGGAACATTCCCGATTCCGTTTGTCCCTCGCCCCGAATCCCGTTCCCCCCTCCTTTTCGATTCAATGTCGATGGAGGAAAATTCGTTCGTTGCGTTTCCTTTAATTCTTTCATATCCCGCCAGAGGGACAACTTCTTCTTCTCGATCTCCCGTAGAAATAAACAACGAAGCAATGAAAGTAGAATTTACACAAGGGTAGAAATTATTATCGAGATCGCAGCTATGCACGCAATTTTCAAGCGAACTTGCACTCTAAGTGCACAGAGAGAGAGAGAAAGAGAGAGGAAGAAAGAGAGAGTAGTCGCTAGTAAAATTTAACCGCGTCTTAAGAAGTGTTGTTCAATTTGTTTGTCTCTGCCGCGACGAAATGGAGATCCTAAAATCGTCAAACCGAGCAGACATCATCGTTGCACGCTCGAGAAAGTTCCTTGACTTAATTGAAGATAATTTTACACGGAGATACAAGCGAGCCGGTCATCGTTTATTAGATCATTCTCTCTGCTTCCACACCCAGAATGCGGATAGAAAGTGTTTTTCTCTCTCTCTCTCTCTCTGTTTCTCTCTCGTTGCTTCGGACACTGGTTGTTGATTCGTGTGTGGTGAAAAAGGTTTGCGGAAACGCGCGAGTTTCAATGGCGAGTTTCAGGATGGGATGGGATTGACAAAGAGATTGATGAACTCCACGAGATCTCCTTTCCCTTCCTTAATTGCTTACCAATTTTTCAAAAGCTGTTTCAAAAGTATGCCTTGTGTTTGCGTTGAGTGCGTTGACGCGTTTCTTTTCTTAATTTTTGATCTATTCACGTAAAATTTAAACTTATGTTTCATCCAAAGGAAATACATTTATCATTCGATATTGTCTAATAATTGATAAAAATATTAATTTAACGTAGACGCGTAACATTGTTCGTGAATGATTGACGATAATAAAATTTCAAATTTAATAAGCATGGTAAATATTTCGTTGAAATCCTCTTACCGCGACGATGTACGAAACAATGGAGCCACCATTGTACGAAACCTCGGCCACCATTAACTTTTCCAACGATCGTTACGTCCCTTCTTCTGAATACATTTACCGTCCCTTCAATTGTTCGAGAAAAGTAAATCCTCGAATGCCACAACTGCGTCTTAACTTACGCTTTTACGTGAAAAATATAAAACACCTTATTTCTCATTCATTCGTAAATACATTCGTATAGATATTTCCATCGACGGCACGTTTGTTTATTCACGTACGTATATAAATATAAGGAATTATACCTTTCATTCGTAAATTCTCGTATAAATGTCTATTCCTCTTCGTTTACGTATCCACCAGAAATATTTGCGAAATAGGGTGAAACAAGTCCATATAAGCATTATATGTGTATTTATCGTAAAATCTGTCGAATATAATACGAGATCGTTATCGGACTAAGACAGTAAGGAATAATTAATTGCACAACTTTGGGAAACTGGGGGAACCGTTTATAAGAATATTGCTTCTAAGACGTTTACTTTTTGCGTTCGAAATGGATCAATCCGGATAGAAAAGATCCGTTTAATGAACAACTTCCGATCTCCCCGCATCTATCCTTCTTTCTATTCACTTTTCGCGACACGTTCTCACAGGCAAACGTGTAACGACTGTAACTTGTTTTTCTCGGATTAATGGCCGGTAATTATCGTGGCTAGTATCGTGAGAATTATCATTTTATTATATAGGGGAAACTAGAAATTGGATATCTCTCGAAATTGTATCGATTCCTTAACGATGCTTTCTTCCCTTTCGAAAATTAAAATTATATTTTCGTCTTCCGTTCGAAGAATTTGCAATCAGTAATTGTTTGAAAAATGGTATAATAGCTAACGAAATATTTTATAATCCGTAAAATTGGATAAGTATAATAAAAATTCGTAATTTTTTAAGTTTATTTTCCTTTCTCCTTCAATACGAATCTCGTGTTCCACGACTTCAATCCTGAAAGGGATGACGGTATCTTTCACTCGTATTTGAATTCTGCGTATTCCTAGTAGTTCACGAGGGCCACGAATGACGCTATGATCCACGAGTGAAATGTGCCCCATCAAGATATACATACACAGTGCGGGTAGGGGTAAAGGCTATATAAGAGAAGGTGAATCTACTTTGGCTTTGTAGTAGAGCTAGAATCTTCGGGTCGCGGTCGTATCTTCTGAAATTAAGGCAACATGGTAAGTGTGCCTCTTAACGGTTAATCATGCTTTATGCAATTGCTCTACCCTGACTTAATTATATTTTAGAAAATTTAGAGAATACGATTCTTTGAGAAATCGTGATAATAGATAAGAGAAGATATCGTTTAATGATAATCTGGATTTTTTTCAAAATTATCAAACGCTTTATATAATTCCTTTTATTCTTAATTATTCTTTAGTATATCTCTACGAGAAATTATAAAAAAGGTGTATCGTTTATACCGATTTGATGATTTTTGAATTAAATTTTTTTCGATAATTTTTTAAGATTAATTTTGAAAAATTTAACGTCAATCAATTGCGATTGAGAAGAAGGAAGAGAAACTTTTACTTTTGTATCCCAGTGATGAGATACTTACTTATAGGGAGGACCACTCCCCATAAGCATTCAGGTAGAGCGTATAAAAGAGTGCTCCTTGCCGGATGTTTGACCCAGAACTTGGCGAGCAGTGAAAGTACATCTCGATTCAAGATCATTTTTTACCAATAATGGTTAAGAAGCGAATATACGATCGAGCTTAAATAACGATTTTGATTACGGCTCGCATAAAATTTCCATTTTAATTTTCAAATGTCGATCTTCGATGTTATTCAAACCATATAATACATAAACATTTACGATTCACGACTTACACGACTTTCATTTATTTTCCAGAAATTTTACATGATACTCGGTCTTCTATGCATCGGCGTGAAAGGCGAGAACAAGATCAACTTGGAGGACATAGAGAGGGATAATTTAAGAGTGGAGGGTGTATCGAAGTCCGGTATTGCACGAGTCGAAGAGGCAAACTATCCTACGAAGCCGGAAATTGGCCAGCAACAGTATCAAATACCGTATCGTGGGCCAACCGGTGCACCAATCACATACGTAACACCATCCTCGGTGCAAAATGTAAAAAAGGGGATTTTTTTAATGTCGCGATTTGTACATACATTTGCGTTGTAACGCGTATTTGTGTTTGTTCAGCTTCCTTCGAACGCGTACGCTACAAAGGAGCAAGTATATCAACGGCAAAATAATATTTTGCCCGAATCGATATTACCGCAGCGATATTACAACGAATACCAACAACAATCGTCGTCACCTTCGAAAGGAATCGTGCCGAACATTTATGAATCGCAACAATTGGCCTATCAACAGGAAGTGAACGTTGGAAATCAATTGCAGGCCATTCGGCAAAAAACGGTCACGGCAAAATTCGCGAAAAATGCGAACAAAGGTATTTATGTTCGATTAATGTTCGTATATAAATCGCAATATCCAGAGATAAGGATTTTAATTTTATTTCTCTTTGATCGAATTGTATCTTGTAGAACCAATATACGTCGATATTCCAACCATGCATCTTTTCACTTATTATCCGAATTTGGATGTGAATCCTGGTAAAAACAATGGATTCTTGCTACCCCAATTAACCACAACGGCGACCAATCACGTTTCCATTCCACTCTACGCAACAACGATTAGTCAAAAGCCAACGATCGCTCCTGTAAAGCAAACTTATCAAATTCAGTACGCCCCCAAATACAACTCCGTGCCTGGTGCTTCTTCGACCAAGGTCAATATCTAATAAATTAATATCAAAAAAGAAAAAAAGAAAGGAATTTTTAAATTCTCGAATACTATTTTTCTTCGCCTTGTAATTTCGAGTTTCACAAAGTTTCGAAATTAGAAAAATTGCAAAAATGTTTCAAAGAGAATTTCGAATTTTCTGGAATTTTATCGTAGTTTTTTCCAATTCTAATATTCCTTATCCTTTTTTCAGGTGACGAAGAACGCTGTTTACTCGGCACCCGTTGCTTCAAAGAAATTCACCGGCACTCAGGTATTGAACGTGGCGGCTTACTCTCCCCCGTTAGATCAATCGTACGCCCAAGGAAGACAGCTTTTGTACACACAGGCGTACATCGCTCCGTCTCAGCCGCAGTACGTTTCTCAGCTAGTGTACGCTCAACCGGCCACGATTTACATGCAAGCAACGCCGGTTTACACCGACGTTTACGCGCGTCCACCTAGCCACGATCGGGATAATTCTTTGCAAGGGAAATACGCAGCGCCGATCGAGCATACGCAGCTTGTCGATGACCTATCGAATCAAGTTCTCGGGGAGCAAAGCAGCCAGGGCGTGACTCAGAATTACGCCAAGGTTGGTATTTGATACTTGAATATTAAATGGAATTTCAATGGAGACAAGGTGCTATATATATATATATATAGAGTTTATGCTCGAGCATAGCTGGGCCAATTTTGCGAGACGAATCACGTAATTAATTAATAACGTGAACGTGAATTTTGAACGAAGAAATTATCCTTAAATCTGGAGTGTATATATTTTTATTTTAATATGGAATGGAATACATTTATGGATCTTGGAAATATTATTTTCTTGAATTGGCAATTAATTATGTGCAAATATGAATCTCGAAGGAAGAAAATTTATTCGTAAAATAAATTTGGGGATGAATATTTATCATTTAAAATCATTTGCTACAGAAACTGTACGTTTATGTATGGATTATTTCAAGTATGCTGTACGAATCTTGCAAATATTATTTTCTTGAATTGATAATTAGTTATGTAAATGTGAATCTTGAAGAAGGAAGAAAATTTATTCGTAAAATAAATCTGAATACGAATCTTATATTTTAATAATTTACTATTGAAAGGGTTAAATTTAAATAGAATTTCACACATTTTAACTACATTAAGTATATGGAAATTTCCTCGTGAATGAAAGATTTTTCTTATAAATATGCATTTTTTATAAAAGGATTCAGAAGGACCAAACACTGACTTGGTGCCACCTCAGATGCCTCCGCAGGATTTCAAATCTGGCGCCACATCTCTGTCTCCTGTCCCTGCGCAAGACGAAGAATCTATTCCTGAACAGAATCAAGTAGGTTCGTCTGAGCCCAGATCATTGTTGGATTCGTACATTCCGAGCAAATTGATAGCAGCTCACGACTCTTCAAGGTAATTAGAGATTAATTTTAAAAAATAATAATTCATACCTTTCTTTCTTTTTCTTTTTTTTTTTTTTTTTAAACTTACAGTCGAAACGTTCGTTGCAAGAAATCAAATTTATCTTATCGAATCTTTATTACAGATATCAAGAAAGGCCTATACAATTGGAAAGAGGTTTCCTTCCATCGAAAGAAAATTTTCTGTACAAGAAGCGTAAAATCGACTAAAAAAAAATCCATGGGAATTTTTTCTTTATCTGATAATCGACGAGCACGATGGTCAGTAGAATGAGTTATACCGTTAACTTCGATGCAGGCGAGCAACACGATGTTCTCAAGATTTCTCAACATTAATTTCGACGTCTATCTTTCTACTTTCAAGATCGTGCTGCACGATTAGAAATGTAAATTTGTCTAATTGCACGACTAAGCTTAAGTGACAATACATGCATCGTATCTTTCTTACGTCGAGCCTCTTTATGGAGCATCGATATTTAAAACAATTCATGAGCGAGTGAATTCATGCCATTAATTATATTATATGTACGAGGCGTGGTAGCATCTAGTCTATTATCGAAGATCGCTAAATCAGCGTTATTACTTATGTTTAACTTTGTTATTCTTTTCACTTTTCTATATACCCATGGGTGTACGTTTTATATACGATTTTTTTAATAATAAATTCTCATTAAACCAATCGCTGTTCTGTATCTCATCAAATTCTGATACAAGTAGCAAGTTTTACAATTACGATAACTTGAAAGAAATTATTCTCGATGGTACGTAAATTAAATTTTTAAAAAGGTTACAAAGTTCAGAAGAAATAAGATTAAATATTATTTTTAATTCAAATCCTGCCTTCTTTTTTCTTTGACGTTCATTTAATTAACGTAATTAATTCATTAGTTCACTTCCATGGATTACGAAATTAATCACAATATCGATATCGCTTTTTCTAATAGAGATTCTTTGACATAAGATAGCAGACACACTTGTTTACGCATAAACCGCACACTAAAATGAGAAAGCGGATGCTGAAGAAGCGGTCCAATGGTGTAGGCTTTCGAAAAATTATTATTTGTCCAGAAGTAATTTTCTTCCCGTATAAAAAATATATAAATAATCAAAAGAACGTATATGTATATATATGAAATAATAAACAATCTATCTATATATTCCCATTATATATTTTATCGACACGTCGACGCAAATGACGCAATAATCAAAGATATTTTCGTAATTTCAAAGATCTGTCTAGTATCATAATTAGATGAACGAAATTATGAATTGGCAAGGATATGCAAAGCAAAAGCAACGATGATTAATCGCGATCCGTCACGAGAAGTATTATCGTGACCTCCAACTTTCTTCGTGACGAAATATTGGATGAGCACACGTGTGCGTCTCTACGCTGCTGGCAGGTGTCTTTCCATATGTATCGAGGAACGAAGAATGTCAGTGTGTTACACCGGTGAAACTATAATCGTGGTGTCCCTCTCGCGGTTCAAGCGAAGGCATATAAGGTGGGATGTTGCTGCCACTGCTTCATCAGTTCCAAATAAACGCGAGAAGTTTAAGGTCGGCCGCCATTATGAAGATCCTCGTGATACACGTAAGTTTTTTTTTTTTTTTTTTTTTGATCTTTGAAACAAATATTTGTTTTTAAACTTTTCCGAAATGAAAGTTCAACTTTGTCACGTTTTGACAATCAATTTTCTATCCTAAACAAATATTCATCCAGCATTATTTATTTTTTTAAATCTATGAAAATTTAACGCGACGATTGACAATTTGTAATATCTAATTAATTTTTATTTTAAAACAAATATTCTTCTAACATTTCTTTCTTTCTCTTTTTTTTTTTTTTTTTTTTGCATTTATGGAAATATAACGTGTCACACGTGGCGGTTGATGATGATCAACTCGATATTTCTATACAGATTTCGTAATAAACCAGCGGCCTCATTTATGCGATAAATGTAAATTTATGTAAATTCATTCGTGCATTTATAGTTTGCAAAATTGAACGTGTCGTACTTGTCATCTGGTCGATATACGACAATATTTGACAATTTTGTATAGATTTGAAACATAGCGTGCATTTATTTATTATTATTTTTTTTTTATCTCGTCGATAGATCAACAATCTTCACGTAGATTCACTTTTCAGAAAAACGCGAATCGTCGAACAGAAAGGAATAAATGGTTTCACGTGCGCGGGAAACTATGGGTTTTCCCTTATCTCGTTTATGAAGGATCATCCCTATTAGTTCCTCCAAATGTTCACGATAATAGTACCGTTATTTGTATGCGTTCTTCGTGTACGTTCTTCAACTTATCTCGCCCCATTTCGCGCGGAGATCTCACGAGAGAGATACACCTGCTATAACTCTAACGCTGCGATCAGCACGGCACAGTGTTATCTTCGCAGTTATATTAATAATATTAACCGCTTAAAATAAAATTATAACAAAATTAAATTAGGCAGATTAATAATTATTTATAATCTATTATTCTGATTATTCTACTCGTTTCATCTTGGCTCGACGCAATAAATGTACGATTCGTTATTTTCACCGGTAGAACTGAATTCTTTTCAAAGACGAGATAAACCAGACTCCTCTGGCTCCGGTCATTACGGAGAAAGTGTTTCTTATTTTCTTTCGTCCACGCGAGCCCGGCGGAGAGTAACAACACGGCAGATGCTCTTGGGCGAGTCAGTGAAAGTCCTTGAAGGTATTCGAGGAACAGCGGCTCTCGAGCCGCTCGTAAAATCCGTTCGGTTTACGATTTATTATTAGGTAACCGTTCGCGTCTCTATCGAAAGAGTAAAGTGAAAATGGCGCGAAACTGGCATTCCTTCGTTCGACATTAATCACGCATTCTACGAGGTATACGTCGAACGTACGATTTCCAAAATCAATTTCTATGATAATCCGTTCGAAAGAAGAAGAATGGCAGAATGTTCGCCTCGAAGCTACTTTCACGTATTCGCAAAATGATCCTCTTTAAAATTATTAACTGGAAAAGAATTAAAAGGGAAGCGAAAGGAGAAGATTTCTAGAGAGATGTTACAGAAATTCGTAATAAATATATATCGTTTCCTCGTGGAAATAAATTTTAATGCGAAACGCGTATCCCGAGGCGAGTATATTTGTCGAAGAAAGCGGTGAAAATCAAAAGAGAGCACCGGCAAGAAACTCGTTATTCCCCTGACTCGTCGAACGGGTGTTTGGCTTCAACTGTGACCTTGTAGAAATTCATCACTCTTTCCCGCCAAGGTCGATAATATAATAATAATGATACAACTCTCGCGAAAGAAAGCACGATTCCTTCCCCTCCTTCCCCTCGATAATTGCAACGTTAAACGTTCCTTAATAATAATCAAAATAAAGAAGGGTAGCGTGAAAGGCAAAGGAAGGGAAGTGAAAGCGAGACGTTAACATTAGTGGAGCATCGAACCAGTAAGATCGATCGAATCAACTTCGTCTCGTTATTATAACGCGTTAAACGAGTTCTCTCATACGTGCTCCGTCACTTTCAGATTCCTCTCGTAATTGCTCTCTGCTGTTCTCTGCCCAACGTCTCCGGGAAGCCTTTGACCGTCGACGACGACGAGGAGGAGGATGCGCACGAATACGAGTCGGCCGCCACCACCATCACCCAATTGGACGACACCGCGAAATTGGAGGACGCCGTTCTGAAGGATGTCGAGACGAGAGCTGGGATGCGCGACAAAATGCCGATTTTGCCGCCGATAATTCTTCTCGACTTCGCCAACGACACCGACGAGAACGAGAACGTCACCCACGTCGAGGAAAAATCGAAACGAACGGTGGACAATGGTCTCGGTTACGGCCTCAACAACGTCCAGACCAGAAGATACAATTATTATTTCCCAGCAGGGAAGAGTGGAACCACGGTGAGCATCGAGGAATCGATCAGCCCTTTCCTCCCGAAAACCATAATCGAGAGGGTGCCCGACAATCACAGTCCGCAGAAAACGTCCATCAAGAGCGTGGTCCACCACAACTCTTTCGCCATGTCCACCTCTTTCTCCGAGATAAACTCTCAAAATGAAAGGAGCCAGCACGGCTACCTGAATCTTCATCGATCGACCAAACCCCAACCCTTGACGTTCGGATTACGCACGAAGCCTCAAAACGCGAACGAGAACTACCGAAGCTTCTTCACAACTGCGAAACCGGGCGTTCTGAGCTCGTTGGAAATTCAAAATTCGGGGTACACGAGGGACGATGGAGCGGCGATCACCACGACCCAATCACCGATCGCGGGCACGGCGCGATACGTGACTTCCAGCCAGGTCAACTTCGCCAGGAATCAGCAGACTGGTAGTTCGTTGAGCTACGTCACGCCAGATCCCCCGTTATTCCGTAACGGGGAAACTTACATCGGTCGGAATCACGTTCAATCCAATATCAATTCTCACTTCGTCCCTCAAAGTGCCATCGTGGACTCCTCCACCACCTCCCCCCTCACCTACAATCCCTCCTCTCCGTTCTCCCCCGTCAGCCAGCAGCAAGCTGGGAACACCGTGCCCAAATACACGGTGGAGAATGGGGTGCGTTACGAGAACAAAGTGTTCTGGAAGTATCCGGACGGCAGGGTGTCGGACGTGCCACCGGCCACCTACGTCGAGACGACTTACCCTCGAGAATATCCCCGCGAGTCGTTGGCGGCGCGGCAATCCGGAAAATCCCAGGATTCCCGTTCGATTTACGAGAGCGAGATGGGGGGGCCGCCGGTGGCGACGTCTGAAAACAGCATTCTCTCGCAGAGGCCGATGCAATTCCCCACGATATCCGAGGAGGCGGGCAGAGAGCCAAACCCGTACATCTCCGCCGAATCCTTGTCGACGAGTTTGCCCCAGCAACAAGTGTACCGGTTGAGTTATCAGAATCTGGTGAGCCAAAGGCAGATCGCGAGTCTGGCTCAACGGCACAAGGGGAACGCGCCCTCCTCTTCGTTGGCCAAGACCAGGCCCAGGCCCGACACGAACAATTACCAGCAAAATTTGTCCAGATACATGGTGGACAGCCCCAACCCCGAATACACCGCAAGTTACACGACCGAGGCAAGCGTCAACACCACTAAGCCTTTCTTCGCCTCAACCAATTCTATCGCCTCCGTAACGTCCAAGTACAGGCCCAAGGTGCAGAGTTATCTGGAGAAGGTGTTGGCGGGGGACGAGGAAGAATCAACGGGAGAGAAGAAAGGTTTCGACAACAACGATTTGAGCAGCTACTCGAACCTGCAATATTCGGATCTGTTGAATTACAATCCGTCCATATCGGAGTATATAAGGAATCCTTCGTCCATATTGAACGTAAGACCGACTTTCGTGCAGGCCGGAAACTCTTTGATACCGGTCATCATACTCAGAGTGGATGGGGCATCCCCTATTCAAACCAAGAGCGCGCAGAACATTAATCTGAAGGCTCTGTTGCAACGATACCTGATCCAGTACGCCAAGACCATTCAACAATTGGCCGTACCTTCCCCCTATAACGTTGGAACTACGGAACGATCGTTCGGCAAACGTCCAGCGTACGGGATCGACAAAAATCCTCCTGGCCTGGATCTGATCCGATTGACCGAGGATGACGCGCGTCACTCGTCGACTTACAATTCGAATTCGTACGTGGGGAAATCGAGCTACGAGACGAGCAATTTGGAAGATTCGAAAGACTTTGTCAACGGTCGTTACGGGGAAGGTTCACGGGGCAGGCAGAAGGTGAAGAACGTTCAGATAATTGACGATCCGAGATTCACGAGTTACAAAACTAATTGAAAAAAATTTGAGAAGTTTGGATGCAAAGAGGTGTAAAATCTAGATGTACCTGAGAGCGATCTATTATTTTGTAAGGAGCGTTGTTGAAATTGAGAAGAACGAGATGTAATTGATATATATATATACATATGGTTTAAGGATAGTTGTTTGGTAGTATTTATGATTATTTCGGGATTGTGCAATAATAAAGTTGGACCTTCGAAATTTCGAAGAGTTGGCACATCGTTGCTGCTGATTGACCAAATTTCTCACTTCAATAAGGTACCTTATAAACTTAGTTATTAAGGATCTGGTACTAAACGATTTACGCTTTTGTATACATTCCTATCTTTTTAATTGAATAAACGTTTTCATCGAGGCAAAATACACCTTTTATTTCCTTTCTAAATCTGGATCGATGTTATATTTGTTGCGAAGCTGTAGCGATATTTTCACGAATTCCGTGAAAATTAAGAGAGAAATTTCTCTTTTGGAATTCATTTTATCTAAAAAAAAAAAAAAAAAAAAAAAA